TCGAGACCTTACGACTGTCCTGGAGTCCCACAGGGAGAACACGGTTCGGCATCACTACATGGACAAAGGGATCAAGTTTGTCATCAAGAATTGGCGACCCGAAGACCTACGCAGAGACGAGGATGGAAGGAGAATGAGGGTGTGCCCGGCATGCTACAACATCGTTCCAGCATGCTTCTCCCGATGCACGTCTTGCTGGTCACAGTTCGTTTCTAGCGGATATTACCAAGGTTCTCCACAACGGGAGACTCCTACGGAGATCCCCAGTGACTTCATTGCTCAGACAATGGAAGCCGCGGCAGCAGCAGTGCCTGAGGCGCCCGAAGAGGAGCAGGAAGCCATGGAGGTAGAGACCGTTGCGGAACCTGAGGAAATCCCAGAACCATCTGTCATCGCGGAGGACGATCCAGAACAGGAACCTGATGAAGAAATGGACATAGAGCCAGGCGAGGACTTTGATGACGCAGTACCAGATGCAGTTGCACAGGAACGCCGTCCCGTCCTCATCGCCGGCCAGTCTTTGAACATCGATCCTGAGCTACAACTCGCACGTACCGCCATGCAGCCGTCCTACTACTCAGGGAAGCGAAATGCCCATTGCATTGACGCCAACATGGTCGCTCTTTCGTATATGGCTTTCGTGGTATGCAGGACCATCTACAAGGCTTGGTCAGGATTCGCGAAGTGGGCTACTATGCCGTTGTTTCAGATGAAGGAGAATTTCGCACTTGGCCAACGCTATGATGTGCTCGGAAAGTGGGGATCTTTGGCTGTAGTGGACAGAGAGACGGGTGTGAGCAGGGATGTGACTGATGAGGAGATCATTCGCTTTGCCAAGGAGCCTGAGAACCTCAAGCAGTACGATCCCAACGGGACTTACACTTTGAAGCGCTTCCGGACGAATCAGATGCTTTCGTTGCTTACACGGGGAGCCAACATGATGGGAATTGGCAGGGACAACTTCAACCCTACTACGTACTTGAAGAGCAACAGGGATGAAGATGTGAAGGCTATGCACTTTTGTTGCCTGAACGTCCTGTGCGAGGTGATTCCGATGGTGACAGGACACCAACAATTCTCAGTGCTACGACCAACGCCAACTGGACCGGTGGACTTCTTGTACATCGACCCCGTCGGTATCCTGCTGACTCATGCCGATCATTCAGTCCAGACCATCGGATTGCTGGTGGACCACAATGTGCAAATGCCTGCGCATTTCATGGACAGATTGAACAGATCCAAGGCTGAGAGACAGCAAAACCCGACGACCAAGCGTACTGAAGCCCTACATCACATTTCGGCCGCTGACTATCTCCCTCCAGGTGGTACTTCCATCCTGGACACGCCTGTCACTACGGAGGAACGTGCAAGCGCTTCTTCGGCTAAGGGACCTTCAAAAGGGCGTGAGAGAACCGGAGGTGAACAGCATGGAGGCTGGAACGCCAACACCTACTATGACTACACCGCCGGCAAAGGCCGAAACAAAGGCAAGGACAAAGGAAAGCAAAGGGAACAGTATCCAGAGGAAAACCTCCGGCCCTGGGACCGCGATCCTGCGACCACGCGAAGATGGAGATGAATCAACGCTTGGTCTTCCTCGCCTATCAGTTCGTGACCTCTGAGCTTCGCCCATGGAATGCCATCGCGAATGCTTCTTTCTTCGGTGACGCCTGATTCGTTTGCCATTTCAGGGGATCGTTACTGACGTAGATGAGTGTCACAACGTTTCTAATTGGGATGCAAAGCTCTGATTTTTCAATGTCAACGTTGCGGCGGAACATTTTCTGTTGTCCTATCGTGCCATCTTCCGGGTGAGCAGCGTCGGAGACGCAACTCATGGGGGGTGCGAACGGACTGCGATGCCTTGTCAAGTTCTAAGGTGTCACTATAAGAGCTGTGAGCAAGACCGTGTAAAGTGCAAGAGAAGGGGGCACGCTACGCGTCCCTCGACTCTAAGGGGGCACGCTACGCGTCCCTCGTCTTTACCTTTCTATGTGACCGCCCACGCAACGTTTGGCTCAAGTCAATGCCCATAGCTAAGTGCTATAAGTGTCTTCTATCCTGAGCAATCAGAGCTATCCCGTTGCACAGACGAACCGCCGCCGGCAGTGAGTGCAAAAGGAACGGCCGCCGGTTCTGCCTGCATAGGATTGCACGTGTGAAAGTGTGAGAGAGACAGGGTCCAGTCTGTGGAGAGTGCAAGCCAGCCACACCTACATTCATTACAGCTCTGGTGGGGAGAGCAGCAACATAGTCGAGATCAATCCCCCACGCATTCTGTAGTCACCGATGGAGGCCCATATCAACAACAGGGTTGAACCAGAACCTGCGACCGTGATGTTCGAGTTGTTGGCTCCTTCCCAGCGAGCCCCAAGGTTACAAGAAAGTTCAATCCGAACCCCCAACCCACTCCCTCAGTGTTGCCGCAAGCTGTTTTGGATTTTTGGGTTCAGGGATTTGCTACCACATCGCGGTGCTCTCGCAAGCTCCAGTTGCAGAAATTCCTATCCTTTTGGAAGCGTGCTGAGACACCGTGTGCTGGACCGTTGCAACATTCGAAGATTCCACGTGCTGCTTTGATTTCAGTGTGCATCCTTGCGATGTGACACGAGACAGCACGAAAACCCAACAAATTCGAGAGTTGAAGCCTCCGAATGTGCTGCGTTGATTGGTGCCTCCGAAACTTTGGCAAGTTTTTTTGTGCATGTCGACACAGCTTTGCCTCAAATATGTTTTGACTGGTTCCAAGGCTTCAGAAATTCTTTAGCAAACTTTTATGTGCATGTCAATGCAGGCTTTTCGCACATTTTCGCGTGATGTCGCGACCAAGTGCACGGAAAGCAGCATCCACATACACGAAAAAAATGTGCTGAAGTTTGGAAGCCCGTGGCTTTGGAGTTCCAACCTTCGAATCTTGTCAAATATTCGTATTTATTTTCGTGTCACGTGAAGGATGCGCACTGAAAGATGCCATGTGCAAGTTTGGATCCTTCCAACATGACGCTTTGACTGGTCCCAAAGCCTCGTAACTTGTAGCAGAGAGGTTCATGTGCATGCCGGTGCATTTTTCAGCGCACGTCGTCAATATGTCACACGGAAACCGCACGAACAGTGTGCAGTTTGAAGGTTTACGGCCTCCCAACACGTTGCTTTGACAGGTTCCAAGGCCTTCTCAACTGTAGCTAATTTTCAGAGTTTCAGGCGAATCCCAGAACCTCCAACCGCCCAACCAACAGCTCACAACCAATCCAACACTTCACTCCAGGAGGCCCCAAGCATATGGGGTGTAGGGTTTGGGGTCAACTGGTATAGGCTTTAGGGTTTGCTTTAGGGTTTATAAGTCCACTGAGAGGGTGTGGCTCTAGTACTTTGTTCAGAGTTCAGGGTTTAGGGGTCAATTGTTCCGTGATTGCAGACCACTTCTTTTGAAGGTTTAGGGTTTAAGAAAATAAAACTCGGTACGGGCGTTTGGCAGGGTGTAGGATGCGGCAAGCAAGTGCATCCCGTTTTGGGGCAAGGTTTTACCAGCAAGTTTTTCAAGGCAGTGCGTTTCCCAAATAACTTTTACACAACGGGATTTGGTGCGGCAAACAGCTTTCAGTAGCATTTGGAAACGGCAATCAACATCTCCCCTTTTGGTTTTAGGGCGGGTTGCTCAATCAACATACTTTGTTCGGTTTCTCAACCAACACCTCCTTTCAAACTTTTGGGCTTGGCAAGCATCTCCTGTTCCGGTCCAACTCGGCCCAGTGCTGCCACGGCCTGCGGCCCGCGGTCTGCGGCGGCCCTTGGTCCGCGGTACACGGTGCGACACAGCAAGAAAGACCTGTGCGCCATGACGGCTTTGCGGAAGCCACTTGAGCTTTCAAGCCCGGAAAGGCATTAACTCATACATATATGAGAAGACTGATACCATTGAAATCAGAGCCACTTTCGGGAACAGTTGACAACCCGCGGATGCAATTCCGAATAGCGGAAGGTTCCAAGAAATGGGTTTTGAACAACAAAAAGCGGCAACGACAGAAGGACAACAACCGGCTAAACATTTCGCTAGAAATCCGGTATATAGCTCCCAAACAATTGAAGAGCTTGATTGCACTGCTTAAGCTTGCTATTCGTCGCCCACTCGATCTAAGACTTGTCAACGTTGTGGATAAACGCCCACAAGTTTCTTTCACCGGCATGCTCAGCGTCAGTTCAAACTCTAAGCAGTTTGTTGCATATGCTCTTTCGTGCAACGTTTCCAGCTCATGTTGCTTCAATGAATCAAAGACAAACGGTTTGTTTCTCCGATGATCAGAATCTGAAATTGACAGCTCTTGCGGCAGTCAAAAACACAGTTTTTTGTTCGCCGAGATTTGGATGTATGAGCCCAGATCTTGAGAACGTTCTTGGATTCTTTAACATTGGGCGCCAAAAGCAGCATCGAAGCCAAGACTTATCAATTCTGCCTTCCGACTTTGCAGCATGTTTTCACCGCGGATGCATGGCAAGTGATATGTAAGCTCCAGGGGCTGTAGGTTTCAGACAGAATGCCGTACTTTCCTGCATATTTTTCCATCACCAAATAGTTCAATCGCATCTAGATGCGCTCCCTAATCTTATTGTTTTTGTGTCAGTTGAATGATAATCCAAACATCGGTGCACGGAAATGCAGCTGGAGCAACATGCGCTGCAGGGCAGGTCCTGCAGCTGCATGTCAAGAAATCAGCCGAGGAGTTAGACATCTGTTGCGGTGAGGCATCGTTTTTTTCGCACAGTGCAGTGCCACCCATTTTGTACATTTTAAGCATTTTTCGGCACGGTGAAGTTTTCGAATTTCGGAATATCGCCTTGTCACATCTGCGTGTTTTATTGACAAGTTGTGGTGTATAGGATCGAACGAGACAGACTGACATTCCGGCCAGTGGCTTGCCTGACGTGTATCATTGGCAGCCGCTTGCAGCTTGCTGGGCACTTCGCGTGACACGCCGTAACTCCATCCCTGAGTATCGCACTTGATGTGGTGCGTTGCTCAGCTTTGCATCGGTTTTTCGGCGTGCCATGCTTCATGCAGTTTCAAAGAGGCAATCGCGGAACGCCGCACCTCGGAAAGTCTGGCTCGTTGTTCTGGTGTGAGGGTTGTCGTTGACTGTGTGGTATTTGTTTTGTCGAGCCAGGGTGGAAGTTCCCCGCCCAGTGCAGCTGGGGTCTCTGAAGTCGGAGAACGAGGGTCAGGCCGGTGGCGGGGGCACTTTCGGGCATGATTGTGGCTGATGCCCTTTGGCAAGTGGTCTACCAGGATCCTGGCATTCGCCTGGTTCCTGCCGGGGGAGGCGGTTGGGGACGGCCAAAGGAGGAGCCGTATATCTTCTAGCTTCAGGCCTGGAAGTGTAAGCTTTGATCTTAACAGGATGTGGAAGAACCGGAGTCTCAGCCGACGCAACCCTGGCTCGTGACAGATGCCCGCTGTGTCGAGCTGCCTCAAAAGCCATAGCATAGCAGGAACCCGCGTGTTGGGCTGACCTCCCAGCCTGCACAGCTGCGGCCCACCGCATGGGGAAGGTGTGTGGAGCAAACCCGTGCGCATCTTCCGTGCTGAGCCCGCTGCCTCCAGGACATCGATCTCCGCACAAGCAGGACCAAGGCCATGGAGACATGAGACATGTTAGGCTATTGACAGACAGTAGTCGTGTCTTTCGTTAGTGAGAAGGCCGGCACCGTGGGCTCAGCCAGCACCTGGCACAGCTTGGCAAGAGCCGGTGGAGAAGAAGCAGGAGCATTGCAGTTCTCTGAAGACTAAGAAAGAAGAACGCAATTCATATCAATGGTTGATGCACCAGCAGGAAGAGTTTCCGTCCTTGGGATCCGAGCCGAAGGCCGCAGCTGGTAAGTCGTGCTCTGCACCGTAGACGCATCCCGGAGAAACGCCTGTTGCACCAGGGGCGCAGGAACTCCGGATCTGGGTCACTGTCATTGGGATTGGCGGCTGTCTCGGACTGACTTGTTCCTGTTCAGCTGCATTCGAGCCTCGCGATCATGTGACGGCATACTGACAGACACATCTCCTCCACTGATAATTACCCAAAACTCACAGCCTCATGCCGGACTGCAGCATTGCGGCAGAACAGCATTTTGTAGTTTTCATGACATGCACAACAGTGAGACACTGTGCGTAATATGCTCACGGTGCGCAATATGCTCTCCTGATCCACTATAGATGTTGCGCATTGGCACATCCCACTCAAAGTGCAGAAACCATAACCAGCTCCAACTGCTCGCAGCGAATGGCCCAGACGATGGCCATGAGTTGCCAGAAGCTACTGAGCTCACCCTCCCGGGCGGTGCCGTTGCCGCCCCGTGCACGCTGTGGGCGTTGTGTGCTTCACCGCGTCTGGTCAGGCCAGACGTTCGACAGAGTCGTAGAGTGAGGATTGTTCTGGAAGTTCTCCAGGGGCAGGGCCTGATGGCCATTTCGTCGCAGCCGCCACTGCCACTGCCGTGGCTGTTGAGCGCTGTCGGTCACCAGTGCGTCGCAAGCCCGTCCAATCACAAGGCGCTCGGTCAGCCTGAGCTGATTGTGCGGCTAGGCTAGATCCAATCTCTACCTTCAAGGAACCTTTCGGTCCAAACTGTCTGCAGGACCAGGGGCACTCCGCGCTGAGCGGCGCAGTTCGCAGACTAAGACAAGAGGTGCATCCCGGGCCAGGCGTTACACTTCGGTGGCGGCTCGGACAGGATGAACCTTTCTTGGAGTTCTTCATTATCGCAGCCTTCAGTGGCGTGTGATATGAGGACTGGGTGGCCAACCTGCGCGGCCTCTGGTCCTCAAACCTTCTCCGTCGAATTCTGAGCCCAGTTCTCTGCACGACCAGCGTCGCGGTCTTGGTCTGTCTCGCCCATGCCTACTTGATCCCGAAGGCCGGGGGCCAGACTTGCAGCGTCGCTTCACGCTTTGCGCTTCGCTGCAGGGGAAGTTCTGGCACGCCAGCACCACAGGCCATGCGCTGCTGGTCTCTGCTCTGGGGCTTCTGCTCGTCTTCCGAACGAACACGGTGGGCCACTTGCGTCGTAGAGTTAGGCGCGAGAGTGTCAGAGTGCTCTGCTCTGCTGTGTTCCCTGGAGGCCTACTCACGCTTCTGGGAGGGCCGACAAATTTGGCAGCGGATCTTGGACTTGGGAAGGCACATCTGCCCGTTGCATGTGCGCTTTGCACCGGTGCACGGTGTGTCGCTGGCCTGTTAGGGATGTTTCGCGATATGCCATCCTTTTTCGCACAGAGATGGGTCCCAAGACATCAGCGCATGTCTGTGGCTGATCCGCAAGCAGTATAGTGGGTAGTGGGGTAGTGACTGGTGAGTGGCTTTGGCAGAGGATCTTTGCTTCCTCGCCTCCAGCTGTTTCGAGGTCGATTGGTGCAAGCGTTCCCATATTGCATGATCGAGCATTTGCGTGGCAAAAAGGCAGGCAGAGAACGAGAAAACCACGTCTATGATGCCTTGGCAAGCGGAGTGGCGTTTCAAGGACCGAGCCATGCGCTCAAAGCTGGAGAGGCTCATCGGCGCAAAGGGCGAGCTTGCGAGCCCTTTGGCCGGACAGTAGAGGTTGGCTAGCAGCGCGAGTGCCCGGTTGCGAGAGCATCTCAGGTAACGTCCAGCATGACTATACCTTGCCGATGTCGTCCAACAGACCTCTCTTCATTGTGAACCAGCTTCTTTGGGTTGCATTCAAGTAGCGAAGCGAAATCATCAATCTCATCTACTGGCGACTGACGTTTGGCTTCAGAGTTGGTGGTCTGTCCAAGGTTGGCTCATGCCGTCCGCTCAGTGCCGAACGGTGAGGGGCAACAGGTAGCTCAACGAAATCAAGACATACCAAGTTACGCATCAGATGTGGGTTCGTGGCACTGCCAGGCGATGTACACCAACCGTGAGCGGTCTCAGCTCATGCAGAACCTGGAAAAGCTGAGCCGGGGGCTGAATTTGATCACGGTTTGTAACCCGAAGATGTACTGTCCATGGTCTGTCGAGGTTCCACAATCGGAGCGTGCGAACGCTTAGTTCAGACACCAGTCCCTCTCAGTGACTCTGCTGCATTGGTGACCGTTTTGCCGTAGATAGCCATGCAGGCGCATTTTGTTGTTCTTTCGGAGTGCTAAGCCTCTTTTGACCCCTCCCCTCCCCGGCACGGGTCCGTGGAGTAGAGGTTTGTAGTGTGTGTACGAAACACATTCATGAGTCATAGCGTCAGAGGCTATGTGCGACATACATCGCGCTTCCTGTCCCTGTTCATGCTCACGTGCCGTGGCTCCAAGACTTCTTGCCTCGTGGTGAGACCATGTCGCGATCCAACTTGCTCCCATACCGCACTGGTTCAACAAGGCTTCCCTTCGCTTTGGTGGATGTGCTTGGCCCGTACACTGTCCCGGTAACCTGTGGCTTGGCGGTCCAAGCGGCTGTTCAGCTGAAGCTGAACGCTGAAAAGCTTGTGCCAAGACTGTGCTGCAGGCTTTGCAAGCTGGGCGCTGTTTGGAATCTTCGAGATTGGTCTTGTCATCGAGGCACATTTGAGGAAGCGCAGCAAAGTAGTGTCTACTCCAGTCGCCCTGCCGAGGACCCCTTCCAGGGTGTCTTGAAGGTGGAGGTGATCGCCGACACGCTTCAGGTTCGAGCGCTGAACACTTCAAAGCCCTTAAGTCATCAGTGTTGCCCTAGCCGGAGGAAGCGATTTGAGAAACTGGACTTGCTCAGGTAGACATTGAGGAATCGATTCGAAGTTTGGGGGCCCAGGAGCCGCTTGCATGCTCGCATCAGTTGGCCACACGGCTTCGTTCCGAAAGGCGAGCAGGGACCAGAACATACCATAGCCAGATGTCATCATGTCTAAAGTCTTTTGAGAGGACCTTCTGGAAGCCGGCGCGCTGGGCCTGGTTGAGGCCCCAAAGAAGTCGCGCAGTGACGCCAACAGCCCCGAGGAAGCAAGCAGGTGGTCACCGTAGCATTTAAGCTTCACCGCTGCTTGAAGGTGCCTTTTTTTGTGAGGCATTATGTTACTTGGATGCGGCAGCATTCCGACATTGACTTGGAGACCAAACTCTCAGGCTACGAATCTTCGCGGGCTTTGCCATCCACCGGAGAAGAAATCTCGGCAGCTTGAGCTGGCAATTGATTCGGACCTGTCGCTACCACTCAACAGGCGTCAATCGATTGCCTGCAAAGCACTGTTCTTGGTCGCGGAATGTGCTGTGATCATTGCAAACCGAGTGGAGAGGGCAAGTGGGCTGCCGGGCTTGCTCTGTCGAAAAGTTCAGGTGGCACGTGCTGCTGCACAGGCCGAGTCCGAAGAGGGCAGGGCGACTTCGGCGAAAGTCAGACAACGAGTCTTTCTGTCTTTGTCAAAGCTTTCGATGGGACTCTGAGCTGCAAGGAAAGTGCAGGCGATCTGAGAACCAGAGACGAACCAGTGCTGCCTTGGGCCAGCAACACGGCACAAGATCATAAAACCCTGCGAAGACGGCCATGTCTCGACCGTTGATGATTGTCACGGATTCCGAGTCATGTCCGAAAGTATGCCGGTCACAATCCAAAATCCGCTTCTTCTCCAAGGAGTCAAGGAGCAGGTCCTCCTGCAGATCTTTCAGTCCTACGATGTAAATGGCGACCAGGCTCGTTGCAAAGCAGGGGGGAAGGTTGAGCTGCTGGACGTATGCTGCAAGAACTCGCGATCAGTCCTACAACGCAATGCTTCGATTCCGAGCATGTAGGCCATTGACAAGCTGGAGATGGAGAGGGTGCCACCTTGGTGCATGTTTGGTGGTGTTTGAGACCCTGAGGCCAACCTGTGGACTGCGTTCTGAATCTGAGGTTTTCTTGGAAGCGGTGTCTGAGCGAGCATCCTTGCATGACTTCTCGTAAGTGCAGCCAGGTGCTCTCGGACACGGCACCCGACATGGAGATCGATGTTGAAAGCTCCTCGGCTTGCAGGGACAGGCCGTAGGCGATGCTCGTGGTCTTCGGTGCGTAGAGCTCGATCGCTGCCTAGGCATAGAGGCCATCTTCGAAGAAGCGGACGTAGACCACGATGGACTTCTCACGCAGGTCCTGCACGCAAACACCAATCAAGTTGGTTTGCAGCCCGAGATGCGTCGAATGTAGGTAGGAGTCCGAAATCTTGATGATAGACGACCCTTAATCCGAAGAGAAGTCTATCGCTGAGTCGCTTGCCGAAGGACGAACTTCAGAATGCTCACAGTCAAAGATCATGGCAACTCTTTTTTTTTCTTCTGCCTTTGAGTGGCAGGCTGAGTGGGTCAAATGGGCGGAGAGATGGGTCCAGAAAGCAGAGATTGCCAACCTGGTGCTGCGAATGCCTTCCTCACCCCTTCTTCCTGCAGACACGCAAGATGACACATGGGCACCCCGGCTCTTTACTAAGCAGATGTCGGATGTGACCATGGCTTCACGGCATGCCTCAGGAGGAGGAAGAGAACGACCCAGAGAGGCCCAGCGAGGGGAAGGGGGGGGCCGGTTGAGAGAGGGGCCCAGGGGTGAAGCCGAGGCCCGAGGGGCCCGAGGAGGCCGAGGAGGAGCCCGGAAGCGGAAGCGGCGAGGCGAACTCGGAGGAGCCCTCGGAGCCCAGAGCCGCCGTCCGCTTCTTGGAGCCGAAGTTGCCCGAGCGAGAGCCAAAAAAGAACCGGCGGTCGGAGCTAGCGCAGTTCCTGCAGAGCTGCGACCCCAAGCGCAGGGTCGGGGTGGATGCTTTCTAAGCCTTGTTAACCGATGCTCCCTTCTGGCCTCCTCTGTGTACTAGTGGGAGGCCAGGGTGTGGCCATGACGCCAAATCTTGTGCCTGTTTTAGTTTATTTCTTTTGTTCATTTGGAGCAGCTTGCTCGTCAGTTTCAGACTCGCATCGCTTCTACATAAGAAGCTTGCGGATGTAGTTTCCTTCCCGCGGCAGCTCTTGCACAATTGCAAACGGTGTCGCAGGAGGTCTCTTGCCTTCGGCACTGGTTACTCTCAAGTACACAAGCGAGACGAGGCATGTAAGACAAATCACGGATTGCCAGCTGCCAAGGCGGCCCAGGCGGCCACTGGCCTCGGCCTCTTTTTGGCTTAGCTTCTCCGCGCCTCCTCACAGGCGCCAGCGAGGTCGTGAGACCAGCAAGTGGCAGACCCCAGTTAATGCTCATGGAAAAAGGAAGCGCTACGCGCATCAAGGTTGTGTCCTGCGCGAGCATTCGAGCTTATGTACCTCCTTCCATTCGTGTTCATGTCGTTCCAAATTCCGAGGGAGCGTCTTCATCTTGCAACATCGCTCGGCCGATTGGAGCTCCAGTACCCGCCACGCGCCCAGAGTGCCCACCCCCACGAAGCAGAGCCGCTTGTACTTGTTGGGATCAAGAATCTAGATTGGAGGCCCCAGAGAAGCGTCCTGTTCTGCCTCCTCCACCAGCACCTTCGCCCCCGCCTGCTGTCCGCGGCCAAGTGTTGAGTCCTTGCATGCTTGCGGGTCTGCTTCCGTGAAAGGCTGAACGACGCGCAAAGGATGAGGACAGCGATAAGGAGAGATCCGGCTTGATCGGCCGCGAGCCTCTTCAGTTGTGCTCAATGCCGCTTCACCTCGCAGGCCGTGGAAAAGCGCTCGCCAGCCCCTTCGCAGCCTGCACCGGCAAAGGCTTCGGTGCCTTGTCAGAAATGGGATCGGGTGAGTCGTTCCTGCGGTGTCGCAACGTACTAGTATCAGGCTTGAGAGATTCCGGGTCATGTTTGGTGTCCTCACGGTGAGGACCAGTGCTGCATAGAGATCCTCCCGTTCTGAGAACAGGCCGAGCGCCCACGCACTACTAGCGAAGACAGCGACAAGGACGGGCGCAAGGTAGCAACCTTTGGCCAGAGGGAGTTTCATGTAAACGAGCAGGCGTGAGATTGTGAGATTGATCAAGTTGTACATCCAGACGTGATGCTCGTCGGTCTGCTGAAAATGTTGAGGTCACATCGCACGAACGCTCACATGCGATTAAGTGAGCATCAAGCTACATCGGCGTCCCAACCAGCAAGCTTCAGACGCCTTGCATGTAAGATGTGTCAGCCACTTTTGCGGCCGTCATTCTGTCGAAGACTTGCCTTGTCCAATCGTCCAAGCCATGTTCGGACGATGCTGGGCAACTCTTCGGAATCTCCGTGTCGCTGTCCAGCCTCTGGCGCGGACACAGGCAGATCAGATCACGGAATCACGGCCTTCCATGGAGTCGGCCTTCGACTCAGGCGTCTTCATTTGGTCGCTTTTCCACGCTCACGGCCTTGCCGGCCTTGCCCGGACCCCAACGGTCAACGAAGGCGCGGAAGTGCGAAACTCAGCTCGTAACTTGCAGCCGGTACGTAGCGACACGGCTCGCAACAGGGGCACCCCCTGCTGGCGCTGAAGGAGGCGGCGCGAAGTGTTTCCTTCGTGTCCACTGCAAGTGCCTGTGAAGTCGCCAGGAGCGCTTCCTCTCTTCGCCATTCGTCGTGAGACCGCCACTTCCCGTCGGCACGCTCCTGCAGCGCCGGGAAGTGACAACGAAGATCCGTGGACGATTCAAGGTGAACAAGCATCGGCGCCTCGGTTTTTGACAATTTTACTTATGCTTCTGACTCGATCGTTTGTAGTGGTGCAGCCGCGCCAGCTACTGTGCGAATTCGAGGTATTTGAAGAATGCGGGAAACTCAAACTACACTTCAAGATCAGTTCTCCAGCTACTCCGCTTTGCTTCCTTGAGGTCAAGCGAGTTCGGTATATCTCTGCCATCCCGCAATACACAGGCCGCAGACAGCCGCTAGCGTCTTCGCGTTTTGATGATATTTCCTGCAGGCCCTCTTGGAAGGCAGACGAAGAAGCGGGCAATCATAAAGGACTACAGAAAGACGACCGGTGCCCAGTCATCCGAGGTGGTTCGCTTGAGACAGCTATGCTTGTCTGTTGCCTTTTCAGGCCGCGTCTTCGCGTGTTTCTGCGAGAACGGTAAGAGTGTCCTCTCGCTTTGTTCTTTGCGGAAAAGAGATCCTGTGCATTGCGAGGTTTCCTAGCAAAGCTTGATTGATGCGGAACCGGTCGTATCTGAAAAGGAGTTCATGAAGACCTTGGCGGACAAGCGCCGTGCAGAAAAGAAAGACGAGGAGGAGGCGGGCTGTGACCTTGCTTCATGAGTTCGAATCCACTGCCGTGATGCCGCCATCTGTGTACGGTCAGGAGCGCAGCCGCCAACAATTTGCTCGCGCGCAGGAGCGTCGCCCTGGCCTGCACGAACGTTAAATGCATGCAATGCTGTTTCAGGAAGATATGTCTGTGCTCCTGCTTGCAGCTGTCTCGCAGAAGCTGCACATGTCCGTGCTTCCAGTCACTACAGCAATTGTGAGAGCTTCTGCCAAGCGTTAAGCAAGAAAGCACTGAGCCCAATCAGGCTACCACTGACTAGCTAGTTCTGCCGTCTGGCTGTAGCTGGCATCTCCGTGACCCGCGCGCCCGTGATGGGATGTCCGTCGTGTCCAGTATGGAGGACCGAGGGACGGAGGGCGCAGATTTTCTGCATGTCTCGAACGGGAGCATATTAGCCTACTTCAGTGTCGTGTGTGAGTTGCATTCGAAACAGTTGCAGAAGGCACTCAAATTGATTGATGCATACGTAGTCGGCGGCTGGGATGCGTGGTCCAGAGGCGAGGAATAAGTTTTTCTGCGATTGTCGCCTGGGGCTGCAGCAGCAATGGGTAGAAAGTGAGGTATCCGCGCTGTAAGGGGAGATCGATGCGCCGTTCAATGGCACATAATCTACAGGGCATGTTGTGAAGATCATGAACTGCGAGTTTCTCACTGCTCATTCTATGTAAAATGTAGATCGCACGGCGACACCAACCGGTCATACAGAGCGGTCGCGTAGAGTCTGACTACATTTGACTGCATGGAAGCATTCATACCCGAGAGTAGAAGCGACTAGCATGATCTCTGTCTCTGTGTGTGGGTGTGGGGTGATACTTGGCTGCGATGAACTCGGTTGCTGAGACGCTCATCAGTCCTCACTCGCATACAGACCAATAGCGACACAATACTTCACATGTGCTGGCTCTTCGCAGCCTTGTCGCGGTTGCAGCACACTCTTGGCTTTGCCGGGACATTTGCCTCCGGAATATGTCGGATGGGGTTGTGTTGGTTTGTCCAACCCTGAATCGCTGGCCAACTGCCGAGGACAACCTTATTCCTTCGCTGGGCGACAGCAGGTGTTCAGTGCTGAGTCGTACAGAAGCAGCTTTTGTGCTGTCAAATTCTGCGAAAATGTAGGGCTTGGTTTTTGAAGTGAGAACTCCGTCGGTATGAACCCAGGGTTTTTCCTTCATGAATCCAGACATGCTGTCCAAGGTGTTGTGCTTCCTCGTGACACAAAGCAAAAGCCTGTTCGTTGCAGCCTCTGGCAGTTGGAGCACTGGCAGGAGGGAATTTGAGAAAAGTGCGCACGTTTCAGGTCTCGGGCTCGAGCTCGATCCCACGCTCCGGGGGCCGTGCGCGAGGTGGGTGCAAAGAGAGTCCAGCGATCATTGGGGTCACATAGGGACATGATTTTGTCGGCTTGCCCTTTCATGGAAGCGGTAAGTTCGTGGCAGCTGGAAGGGACGCTGCCAAGCGAGAGGCACGAGGGAGAGTGCAATGCTTCCTGCACACTCTGCTAGGCGTCGCTTTCTCTCCAGTTGTGCGCTCAGCCCGCGACCCAGCAAACAACAGAAAGCTGCAACATGCTCAGAGTGCTGGACATGGACCGTGTCTGGAGCCACAGGCGGTGGAAAGCAGCCCGGTGGAGTCGGAGGAGGTGCGGCAAGAAGTCTTGCGTTTGGAGACTCGAGATGCAACGCTTTGGCCCCGCAGCCCGGCAGGTTGCTGAGGACACGAGGCCAGTCTATCAAAGGCAGCTGAGCGAGGACGAGGTCTGGCCGAGATGGGCCGAAGTTGGCATCCGGCAACGCTCGCCTGGCCCATTTGCAGGTTTTCGCGCTACGTGCCAGCTCGCGGAAGAGAGCAGCGTGGGCCGACGCCTCGAAGACTAGGGAGACTTGCTGTACTCCGAGCTCAAGCTCTGAAGGTTCTGCACATGCTTCCGATGTAAATCAGATTTCTTGACTTGAAGCCACAATCCTAGACATGTTTTCAAGCTGGTATCATGACGTCGGTGTGTCGCAATCGCCTTTGAGCTTACCACTTCTAGGCTCGGGCCCGTCTACGGCAAAAGGCTGGCCAGGAAGGGGCCGAAGAGGAGGTGCAGCATGGGTTAGCAGAATTGCTGCCATTCGAGAGGCCAACATGTTTTCGATTCTGCGAGTATGGCAGGTGCCCCTGCCCAAGCCGGCGAGTTGGAATAATGATCGGCGGAAGCAGGATGGGTGTGGGAATGACTCTTGTTTAGTTCGTTTAGACTTGAAAAACGCTGCAGCCAGGAAGCCACGCGAGAGCGTAACCGCCTCTTCAAAAGACTCGAGGTGCCATCATTCAGTCTTTCCTTCATTGGTTTATTCTTGCGCCCCTTGTCTGGTTGATTCCTTGGTTGATTGGTTCGTTCCTTCGCTGAATCACCTCTGTCTTCATCTGCCTCCCTCCCTCCCTCCCCCCTCCCCCCTCCCTCGCTCGCTTTCTGTCTCTCTCCGTCTCTGTCTCTCTCTCTCTCTCTGTGCCTCTCTGCCTCTCTGCCTCTCTGTCCCTCTGTCTCTCTGTCTCTCTGTCTCTCGGTCTCTCGGTCTCTCTGTCTGTCTGCCTGTCTGTCTCTCTTTCTCAGTAATTATGTATGCATGATTGTGCATGGTATGTCTGCATGTATGCATGTATGCATATAGGGTCTTGGATCGAGCTCTGTAGTGAGCATTGCCAGGAACCCCAGTGCAATACGCACGACCGCCGCCATAGTGCTGTGTGCTTCGCCTCCTTGGCACCGCAGACTAAGGGCCAAAAGATCAAGAGCCCGCCGTCGGCTCAAACTGGCAAGGCTCTCCGGCGAGCCACCTTCGAGGACTGACGTCCTCCGCCTCTGCCTGCACCACAGCCGGCCGCAGCTCCGAGAGCTCTCCTACCTCCCGTTCTATTCCATGGGCAAGAAGCCGCAATGGTCTGCAGCCGAATGGGAAGCTTGGCATGCCTCATCTTCCTCGCAGCATGGTGGATGGAACCGCGCCAAGGGACGTGGCAAGGATGCTGGCAATGCCGGACAGCAGCCACGATGGCCGAAGGGCGAAGGCAAGGGCCCCAGGAGCAATGGCACCGCGTTCCCAAGCTTCGAGGCGATGGATGCTGGTGGTACCGGAGCGAGATCTTCTACCAGAACAAGGGACCGCATGGAGGCGGACGAGGATGCGAACAACAACCCCCAAGTCGCCCGGGGTGTCCAGCGAGTCTTGAATGGCCTTCGGAAAGCCGAGGGAAAAGCGAGGCGCCTGGAAGAAGAACGGACAGAGCTAGAACGAAAGTGGAATGTCTACCGACAGGAGCTCCAGCAAACGTTCATCCAGGAGAAGCGCCGATTCCAAGATCGACTCAGCAAGCTCAGCCAAGACCTACAGGAGGCGGAGCAAGCCCAAGAGGATGCCCTGCTCGAACTCCAAGGTGCTCTCCTCGAGCCGCAGGCGGCGACTCGCAACAAGCCGCAAGAGGACAACACGGAGGCCATCGAAGAGCTGGAGGCACTGCTGAAGTCGCCGGAGCGACCCACGACTGGGATTGCGGACATGTTGATGGGTGCTATGCAAGGCGGAGACCGCGAAGCTCGACGGCGACAAATCCTCCAGGCGATCGAGGCACATCGCACCCGCCGAGATCCTTTCAGCACCCCACCAAGGCGGACCAAGGGACTCAGGGCCGCGACCCCATCTGGCAGCAAGCAGGTGGAACCAACTACGAGGACCACGGCGGCAACAGAGCTCCCCTACAGTGCCGGGATCGAGCATCGAAGACGAGGCCTGTGGGTGGTGGGCTTGCAGCCAATCTGGAATCCCGACGAGAGGCGGACAGGAAGGAAGCCGAGGAGATCTCGGACGACCCGACCGACTCCCCCCGCATGGACGATGGCACGAACAATCAGCCGGCGGAGTTGAACAATGTCGACGAGTGACAGACCGCCGGCGATCGGCGCAAGATGTGTCCCAGGTTTCTGATGCTGGCTTTTTCGGCTTGTCCAGCATGGGACCTCTTCTTTATGAAGCAGTACATCCAGCTGTTGTTCTTGGCGTACAAGACGCTGCTGTTTGTGGAAGCTGTTGTGTTTTAGGTTTTGATCCTCGAGGACTACCCCTTCCATTGAGTCCTCTACCAGCTCGACAAGGCAGAACAAGGGGCGCCCCCCCTGACAATGGTTACGGCTGCCGAGTCTATGACCTCCTGGACTGTATTGGCCTCCTCTTGGCTACATTACAGGACGGATTCCTTCGCTGGGCCAGTGTGGCGAATGCAGCGGCCCAAGGATGGTGCAATGGCTTCCTCCTCTTCCAAACCGGGGCCCTGCTGTCTCTTCTGGCTGTTCCGGTGTGTAGACCTGCCGTTGGCAGGCGACCAGCACATAAGCTGTTCATGGCCGGACATGCCAAGACATTGATTGTCTTCATGCTGCTGCAACCTGCTGGTGCAATGCAGAACGGCTGGACCAACCGGCCACACGACCGGACGACTCACTCCGTCCTCAGCCCTGTCCCAAAGCCGACTGACCTAGAATTATGGGCAGCGGGACAACTCACCATGCGGGAGCAGCTCATTCGCGCCAATACGGCTCGAATCCTGGGAGCCCCTCTTGGACATTCGGAAGGTGAGATCGCCCCTCCGACACTGGAGGCCCGCATCGCGACGGCCGACGATGACCCGGCGCCGCTCAACGAGGACGACAGACGGGCGGTGCATGTGACGGTCTGGATCGCGACTCCTCACTTCAGTAGTACGGTTGTGGACCTCGGTATCGCCTTCCCCCTGACGGAGCAGAGACTTTGCGATGCAGTGATTGGAACCTGCACCGAGCTGCCCGACTACATCGAGACGGTGATCCCGACTGTCCCACAACTCGCCTCTCACTTCGGAAGTTGCTTGGCGGTGCCTTCTTGGGTGCCAGCTGTGGGCAAAACGGTTTTGCTGATGGATAGCAGAGGCATCGGTGGGGAGCTGTTCGCCTTCTATCACGAAGGCCCCCTTACAGTCCACAGCCTTGGCAAGCAACTGCCGGAGGACAGCTCCGACTACGACCTCTACCTCTTCGGCAGCCACAACCCCCTACAGCCACATGCCACGCAGCCTGCTATACAGGGTGGCATTGTCAAGGCTGTTTTTGCTGGGGACCACTGTACATGGGAAGATGCCCTCCAGACTCGGCTTCTTGATCCTACAAGGTGGAACCCGAGGCTAAATCCACCGGGCAACAGCCAGATCGAGCACGCGGTCTACCAGAGCCCCGAGGATCAGCTTGTCTATGAGGAGATCCTGGGCTCGGACGACTTGCGAGAGGATCTGGCTGAACGCATCATGCTCTTCAGCCCAGGTCAATGCTGCACAGCGGAGCCGACCCGACCAGCTGAAGACCTCTACCATGCGGGCCGAAGGATCACCAAGCAAATCGCGGTCATACCGGGACCTCGCAGTACACCCGAAGATGACCCGGATACCACGGTGATATTTGCTGATCTACGCGGACTGGGATTCTTCCCGCAGTGGATCCTCCTCCCCGGGCCCTTTTTCGACTCTTCTGAGTACTTGGAAGGCATCCAGGCTCCCGTCGTCGAGGGCTGGACTATCATGGTCGAGGGTGGCGAGCTCACATCCCAGCCGGAGATCCTCCGTGTCAACAACGGTGAACTACTTGTCTTCTTCCTGAAAGAGACCGCGGAACTCTCCTCGTCACCAGCATCCCACCATGACAGCGACCTCGACACAGATGGTGACCAGGATGGAGATCGAGATGGACATGACCCTCCCCCTGAAGATCCTGATTCAGCGGACCTGATGGGTTCCTCTCCACCCTCGCCCGACATGCGAGGCCGAAGTCCACAAGGACCACCGCCACCAAGCCCGGTCAACCGCAGCCGATCGCCACGCCCAACTGGACACCCACGGCGCCACGGAGATGAACAAAACTCGGGGCTTTCTTCCGCGACCCCTGCTGCCTCTACAACCCTGAGCCTTGCGACTGTGATTCCCCCGCCGGTGTTTGACATCGCTCTGGAGTCGCTTGCAATGCCCCACACCCTGCAGGACATCACGGAGATGATGAGACCATGGGAGCCGACTTGGCTCGGTCACGATGTCTCGAAGATGGCGCTCACGGAGGCGACCCAATCCGGTCTCCGCGGCCTTGTCCACTGGAGCCAAGTCTCGTGATTCTCCTCGAAATGTCCTCATGAGCCTCTTCGGCGTCCTGGGAGAACCTCTCCTCGGAGCCTCATTCTGCCCCTGGGGGCCCACTGATGCTCCGGCTCTTCAGGCAGAACAAGCTGCGATCGTTATGGCCCTCCTTTGGCTGGGACAGAGCCTGCACTTTCTGCAGGCTAGCGACTACATCCTCCATTTTGACTGCCAGGCGGCAGGCTGGTCAGCGGATGGGACGTTCGCGTGCTGCAACCCGCTTGCGGTCCGCACCAGGCATCTCGAGTCCTACCTGCAGGAGATCACGAACCATAGACTGAAGTTTGCCTATGTTCGGGCACACGATGCACATGCTTGGAACGACTTGGCAGACACAGTTGCCAAAGCTGCCTCCCAGCAGGCTGGAAACTTACCGGGGCCACCACATCGTGTCATCGAGCACTTCCTGTGCCTCGATCTTAGCTGGGCGGCAGCGTGTCTATACGGCGGCAGACACGGATCGCTACCAATGTTTGCGGGACAGCACCTTCGGTGGGATCCTGGACAACAGAGAGGCGCCAGCCCCCTAAGCCCGGAGGAACTGATCCCAGTGCAAGTTCCCAGCACGGGCCCCCCTGGCAAAGCCCGGCGAATGCAGATCAAGGCTACCACCATCAACATCCAGGGCATCAAGGGCAAGTACAAATATATCTCCGACCAATTGGCACAGGCCCGCTACCAAACGGTCTTCTTCCAGGAGCTCAAGGACGCTGAGGGCCTATGCCGCACTGGAGATTACCTTCGGCTTCACACAGATTCACAATCGCACTGGGGCGTTGGAATCTGGCTAAATCGCCGCATTGGGTTCGCAACCATTGCGGGCCAGCCGGTCAGGGCCGAAACAGAGGATATCCATGTCCTCCACAGCGAGCCGCGACTACTTCTAATAGCAGTGCGAAAGTTCCAGAAGCGCTTTCTCCTCTTCTCCGGGCATTGTCCACACACCGGACGACCACAAGAGAGAGATGCATTCCTGCACCTCTTCCGAAGCCTACTCAAGCAGGCCGGAGAAGCCTATATGGTCCTGGGAGGACTGGACCTGAATGGACGCCCACCGCCCAATTACTCGTTTGTGACTGGCAGCCTGCAACACGGGGAACCAGATGAGGCAGGTGAACAACTTGCCCAGAGCTGTCTGGACATTGGACTCTGGATCCCGGCAACCTTCGGGGAAATCCATATTGGGACTACCACGACATATGTCCATCCCAGCGGAGGAGAGCATCGCCTCGACTTTGTGCTGGCTGGAGGCCATCACCACAGTACCGAGGCCCGCAGCTGGACAGACCTGGACGTTGACACAGGCAATCGTCAGGAGGACCACCGGGCCGCCTCCCTCCAGCTACATGGACACTTTGATGGAGCCCGGGACACTCCCAGACTCCTCCGCCCCCGATACGACAGACAAAAGATGCTCTCTGCAGAGGGCAAAGCCATCCTGGCTCAGGCATACAGAGACTACGTCCCGCCCTCATGGGAGACCCACATTGATGCCCATTGTCAACACTTCCAGGGCTTCATCGCTGACGTGCTTGACAAGTTCTACCTCCCAAACAAGGGCCCCGCGCTTCCTACATCCCACCTCAGGTCTGGGCATGGAGAGAGCTCAAATTGAGCCTGAAGAAGCGGACTGCCTACCGAAAGGACCTCTGGAAGACCCTCCTACAGGCGGCCTTCTCACGATGGGCTGGGGACACTACTGTGGACCTGGCCCCGGCGGCACGCATTGATGGACTTCTCTACGAGGTCACGGCGACTGCCATTGGCATCGCCACGGCGCGGATCAAGCGGGAGATCTACCAGGCCAAGGACAAGTTCCTCAAGGGGCTCATCGCGGACGGGGCCTACGGGACCACGGATTTCCTGAGGAAGATGAAACAACATGGCATTGGAGGTCGCAAAGCTCGGTCTGCCTTCAAACCGTTGCCATGCTTACTCCAGCCCGACGGACAACCAGTTGTTGATCGCTCTGCCCAAGATGTCTTGTGGCTTACGCACTTTGGTCAACAGGAGCTTGGCGAGGTCATTTCTACTGTCGACTTCCTACAGCAGAAGGTCCACAAATGCGCTGGCATCGAAGAGGTTGAGTGGACACTTGCCGGACTACCGACTGTTGAGCAAGTCGAATCTGTGCTGCGAGCTGTACCCCGTGGCAAAGCCCCGGGCATTGACGGTCTCCCTGGTGAGGCCTTTGCTGCTGCACCTCAGGCCCTTGGTCTGGCAATGCACAGCCTCGTCACCAAATGCATGCTGGGCATGCAACAACCTATCCAATGGCGAGGAGGCATCTTGTACGCTGCCTACAAGGGCAAAGGACCCACCTCAGATGTCGACAGCCATCGCTCGTTGTATGTCAGCAGCATCCCGGGAAAGGCGTTTCATCGGCTACTACGGGACCAAAACCAAGAATGCCTTCAACGGACGCTCCACGGCCTACATCTTGGCAGCCGAAAACACTCCCCGATCCAGTTCGCTTCCCTCTACCTTCTGAGCATCTTCAGAAAGGGAGCACGTCGAAAGATCTCCACTGGAGCACTCTTTCTGGATACGCGTTCTGCGTATTATAGAGTGGCAAGGGAAATCGCCACTGGCCCAATATGTGATGACTACACGATTGCCCGCATCTTCAAGCACTTCGAGCTTGATGGAGAGGACATCCATGACCTCTACTCCATCATCCGAGCAGGAGGGCTTCTCCTGGAGGCTGGCACCCCCTCAATGCTGACTGCGGCAGTTCGAGATATCCACCACAAGACATGGGCCATCAGTGCCTGTTCGACTGGGCAACATGTTGCCTCCTCCACGGCTGGGAGCCGGCCTGGCGAATCCTTCGCGGACGCCATATTCGCCTTTGTGTATGGAAGAGTACTGGGCCAAATCGCTGAAATCCTTGATGGCGAGGGAGTCTTGTCCTATGGCTCGTACGACTCCTCGACCGGCATTCTTGGTTCCGGCACCGCGGGCGATCAGCACCTCCTCCGAGATGCGACGTGGGCAGACGACAGCTCGTTCCCATTACAAGACGAGTGCCCCCACAGATTGGTACGTAAGGCGTGCAGAGCAAGCTCGGTTGTCTTATCGAGGTGCAGATCCTTCGGCATGTGCCCCAATCTGGCCCCGGGAAAAACAGCTTTGGTCCTTGCCCTCAGAGGACGTGGTTCCCAGAAGGCCCGGCGTGAGCACTTCTCCCAGGATGGTAAAACCCTCCTCCTGGATGACCTGCAACTTCGCATCCCGATTGTGCCACAATATGTTCACCTCGGAGGCGTCCTCGACATGCATGCAACCGGGAAAGCTGAGCAACGTCGCCGACTAGCCCTGGCACAGAGCTCCTATGACAGTGGCAAACGACTGCTGTACCAGAACAAGACAATCCCTCTCCGCACCAGGGCTCAGATCTTCGAGGTGTCGGTGCTCGCGAGTCTGTTCAACTTGGCCCAGTTCCTGCCGGATGACGACGTCTGGAACCGACTGACCGATGGCTACTCTCGCATCGTTCGCAAGCTCCTTGCGACGCATGTGGCCGGCGACCAGCTCTTCCACATCCCTCTGCCGATCGTGCACCTGTCCACCGGCTGTTGGCAATTGTGTCTCCATGCACGACGGGCTCGCTTGAGTCTATTGAGCTCCTTAGTCTGCCACGGCCCTGAAGCACTGTGGGCTGTCATCCAGGCCGAAGAGAGTTGGGCGACCGTTGTTCGAGATGACCTACGACGCCTTGCAGCCGTTCAACCAGGATGGCCAGGCGATCGGCCGGAAGATTGGCCGGCTTGGTGGCATTCCATTCGGGAGAACCCTGGCCGTTTCAAGCTCCGGGTAAAACATATGCTCCGGAAAGAGCACGAGGCGCTGATGGCCACTGAGGCAGTACAAGTCGGGCTTTGGACCATGTATCGCAAGGCCAGTGCCCGCCTCCCGTTACCGCCGAAGCCCCAGAGCCAATGGGTGTGTCGGGCTTGTGACCGTGGCTTCGCTACCAAAGCCCGACTGAGCGTCCACTACTTCAAGACCCATGGCAGAGTTTCCCGGCATCGACTCTGCACCGTAGGCACGGACTGTCGTGCCTGCGGCGGACGATACTGGACACATGCTCGCCTACATGCTCACCTGGCGACCTCACCGGGATGTGTCGAAACACTGATCGCCAAAGGCCTGACTACTGCTGAACCCCTTCCGGGACGGGTCAGCAAGCGATGGCGGCAGCTCCAACTCGAACAGTTCACCTGGCAGCCGGTCCAGCACGGCGACCCGGAGTCAGCGGTCGACAATGATGCCCCCCGCGATGCGGCTGTGGCCGCCTGGACGGCCGAGATGAACTCGGTCTACAGGGCGCTTTGTGACTACTTTGTCAACGGCGACGCTGGTCAACCCTGCGATCAGGTACGACAGGTACTACGCGAAGCGATGGCACAACAACCGCTGTACCGAACGGAGGAGCATGCTATCCTAGAAAGGGTCGCTGACGATGCACGCCTGCTACAGCAAGACGTTGACTTCAAGGGACAGTACGACAGTCTCTGCGAGGTGCTCATCGACCCGGAGGCCGTGTTGTCCCACCCGGTCAACTCCCCTGACCCCCACGACAAGGTCTCCAACACCTTCCGGGAGTTTGACAGGGCGATCACGACCATAGACTGGAGTGAGCTGATCACGGCAAGCCAGAAGCACGGGACCCATGAACAGGTGCTAATTCATCTCAACACGGGCTGGGAAGCTGAAGAGCTCGTGAGGAGTGGCACCTGGGAAACTTCAGCCGTGCTCCGACAGCCGTACCTTATTGTCCCAGAAAAGATAAGAGAGGCCTGGGACCGCGTTCTCGAAGCTAGATACGCGAGTCTCTGTGCCCCGGATGTCTTCTGGGCCAGCCCTTTTGCAGTGCCATTTCGATCACTGCCGGCCGATATGCAACCAAATTAACCAGCAGCGACGACCTCTGAAAGCAAGGAAATGGAAAATGTATGCATATATGCATGCAATCTTGCATGTATGAATGCAGGTATGAATGCAAGTATGAATGAATGTATGTATGCAAACGAGCATGCCTGCACATCTGCCCACCTGCCTGCATGTCTGTATGTCATGGATGGATGTATGTATGTACGTGCAAGCCTTTCATATGGCCTCCTTATTGATATGCACGAGCGACGCCGTGGACTTTCCCAGTTTTGCAAGTTGTCACGTCATCAACTCTGAAAAGTCATCAACTCTGAAAAGAAGTGCTTGGTGCATGACGACCAGTTGTGATCAGGGGAGAACGGTGTAGATCAGGTCCTTGGCGCTCGCCTCTGGGGCGGTAACGTCGGGTGGCTTTCGGATCTTGAGATATCGCGTAGTCTTACCTTGTATATGTATGCCAATCGACTAATATTTGAAGGTTAATGTGCTATTATCTTTGCGCCCGCGCCAGGGTCATGTGTTTCAAGAAGTTATCTGAGTCCTGCGGTGTCAAAAACATTTAGCATGCGTCCTGGAGATGCCAGTGGATCACCGCCCGTGCAACGCGGGAGACCTCTCTTGTGGCGTGCGAAGAAAGTACTCACGTACGTAAGTAGGTCGGCATGCATGTATGTATATGTCCGACATACCCATTCATCCGGGTCAAACGGAACCCGTGTTTTGTTTTTTGCTGTCGTTGCCTTTATGTTTTTTTTGTTCTCGTTGCGCGGACCCAGGAAGCTGGTGAGTGAGTGAATTCCGGTGCCCGCACCGACAGCAAAAAAAAAAACGCGCCCCCGCACGACAGCAAAAAAAAAAACGCGCCCCGCAACGACAGCAAAAAAAAAACGCGCCCCCGCACCGACAGCAAAAAAAAAAACGCGCCCCGCAACGACAGCAAAAAAAAACGCGCCCCCGCAACGACAGCAAAAAAAAAAACGCGCCCCCGCAACGACAGCAAAAAAAAAACGCGCCCCCGGGGACGACCGCCCCGCAAACAACAGTATCGGGAACGACACAATATCTGGGCGTTTAAGTTGCTCATTTAAGGTTTCTATCAAGTGGTAGTAGTAGTAGTAGTAGTAGTAGTAGTAGTAGTAGTAGTAGTAGTAGTAGTAGTAGTAGTAGTAGTAGTAGTAGTAGTAGTAGTAGTACTAGTAGTACTAGTAGTACTAGTAGTACTAGTAGTACTAGTAGTACTAGTAGTACTAGTAGTACTAGTAGTACTAGTAGTACTAGTAGTACTAGTAGGACTAGTACTAGTAGTAGGGAGGGCGTACCCCAACCCCCCCGCTGTTTTAAGCCGTCTGCAAGCTTGCGTGATCTTGCGTGACAGCATAGAGGTCGTTTCGGAGAACCCACCCTGCATAATATGATATGTGCGTTTTGGAAACAACGCCATTCACCCTGCGAAAAAATTGATTGCAAATGGGAAGCCTGTCCCGCACGTGCGAGAGTGCCAAGCTTGCTTGACAGCATTAATATATATGCGTTTTATTTAAAACCAAGCATGCGAGCATCCTGACTGGCTGCCCCCCTTAAACCCCGCCCCCCCCCCCCCGCCGCCCATATGATTTTGTTGTAAACCAGCCATGCGAGCATCGTGATTGCGAATGGGGGGGGGCTGCGCCCCCCCAACCCCCCCGCTGTTTTCAGCCGTGTGCAAGGTTACATGACGGCGTAGAAGTCGTTCTTGAAACCCGCGATCCCTGAGATGTGTCTTTTAGAACCCAATACCATTTTTTACCTTGTGACAAGGGTGTTTGCAATCGGGGAGCCTGCGCCGGGCATGCGAGAGTGGCACTTGGTTGACAGCACATATGCGTTTTTTGTTTCAGCCGACCACGCGACCATCATAGAATCGCAAATGTGGGGGGCTGCGCCCCCCTCCAACGCCCCCGCTGTTTAAACCAGCCATCGTGATTGAAAATGGGGGGGCTGCGCCCCCCCAACCCCCCCGCTGTTTTAAGCCTTGCGCAAGGTTGCATGACAGCCTGGGAGTCGTTCTTGAAACCCGCGATGCCTGAGATGAGTCGTATAGAGACAAAACACCATTCACCTTGTGACAAGGGTGCTTGCAATTGGGAACCTGCGCCGGGCATGCGAGAGTGCGCACTTGCTTGACAGCACTGTTTCCTTTTTTGCTTTAACCGACCACGCAACGATCATAATTGCAAATGTGGGCGGGGGGGGCTGCCCCCCCCAACCCCACCGCTGTTTCAAGCCGGCTGCAAGCTTGCGTGACAGCAAAGGGGTCGTTGCTGAAACACACCCTGCATAATATGTGCGTTTTTGAAACAACGCCATTCACCCTGCGAAAAATGTGTTTGCAAATGGGAAGCCTGTCCCGCACGTGCGAGAGTGCCAAGCTTGCATGACAGCATATATGCGTTTTGTTTAAAACCAAGCATGCGAGCATCCTGACTGGCTGCCCCCCTTAAACCCCGCCCCCCCCCCCCCGCCGCCCATATGATTTTGTTGTAAACCAGCCATGCGAGCATCGTGATTGCGAATGGGGCCCGCTGTTTTAAGCCGCGCGCAAGGTTGGATGACAGCCTATAGGAGTCGTTCTTGAAACCCGCGATGCCTGAGATGAGTATTTTAGAAACAAAACACCATTCAGACATCGAAATCAAATCAGCCAAAATTGTGCACAGCACCACATGAGGCGACACATTCAGCCGGCATCCTGTGTAAATAATAGGACGTGGGGGCCCAAATAAGAACAAAAAGAACCAAAAACAACAAAAAAGGACCGAAATAATGTAGCCGTACTATAGTAGTAGTAGTAGTAGTAGTAGTAGTAGTAGTAGTAGCAGCAGGAGTAGTAGTGTAGTATAGGTAGGGCGATGTGGAGGCGAGCTGAGAAGACGTATCTTTCCTAGAAGGAATATATGGGTGGAATATGCCTTGATTCTGTCATACAGACATGTTTCCGACCGAATGCTTGTCTGTAGTATACGTATTCCGTCATCACTATTACGGAAGACATGCGTTTGAGGGGTGTGTAGTACGTGCGAAGCAAGAAACCCCGGCACGCGCAACAACACAACGGCGAAACAAAAGCAGTAGTTTTGCTTCGCATCGCTGTAAGGTCGGAGCTTACGATACTCAACTGTCACCTGCTATGCAGTCAGTCGACGCGCCATGCAGGAGCCAAACAAAAGTAGTAGTAGTAGTAGTAGTAGTAGTAGTAGTAGTAGTAGTAGTAGTAGTAGTAGTAGTAGTAGTAGTAGTAGTACTAGTAGTAGTAGTAGTAGTAGTAGTAGTAGTAGTAGTAGTAGTAGTAGTAGTAGTAGTAGTTGTCGTAGCAGTAGTAGCAGCAGTAGTGGTAGTCGTAGTAGTAGTAGTAATAGTAGTAGTAGTAGTAGTAGTAGTAGTAGTAGTAGTAGTAGTAGTAGTAGTAGTAGTGCTAGTAGTAATAGTAGTAGTAGTAGTAGTAGCAGTAGTCGTCGTCGTAGTAGTAGTAGTTGTTGCTGTTGTTGTTGTAATGGTAGTAGTAGAAAAGTAATAGTATAGTAGTACTATTAATAATGATGATAATAAACAAGCGCCCGGGGAGCGCAACGACAGCGAAAAAAAACCGCGCCCCGCAGGCACGACAGCCAAAAAAAAAAGCGCCCCGCAGGGACGACAGCCAAAAAAAAAAGCGCCCCGCAGGGACGACACACAGCAAAAAAAACGCGCCCCCGCAGGGACGAGAAAAAAAAAAACGCGCCCCGCAGGGACGACAGCAAAAAAAAAACGCCCCGCACGACAGCAAAAAAAAAAACGCGCCCCGCAGGACGACAAAAAAAAAACGCGCCCTGCAAAAAAAGGCGCCCCGCACACGACAGCAAAAAAAAAACGCGCCCCGCAGGGACGACAGCAAAAAAAAAACGCGCCCCGCAGGGACGACAGCAAAAAAAACGCGCCCCGCAACGACAGCAAAAAAAAAAACGTGCCCGCAGGGACGACAGCAAAAAAAAACGCGCCCCGCAGGACGACAGCAAAAAAAAAAACGCCCCCGCAGGGACGACAGCAAAAAAAAAAAGCGCCCCCGCAGGGACGCCAGCAAAAAAAACGCGCCCCCGCAACGACAGCAAAAAAAAAAAAACGCGCGCCCGCCACAACAGCAAAAAAACAACGACAGCAAAAAAAAAACACTCTTACCCCGGGTCAAACCTGGACAATGGCCACTACCAGGCCATGCTGCCCGAAGTCCGAAGACACTTGCTTTGTCCTTGCTAATGATGGTAATGGCAAGGCGGCTGTGAAGTGCTCACCAGATGTCTCTGACGCTGCCTGTGGTGACTCGTAAGTTTTTATGTATGTCTACGTCAACGAGCAATGCTAGGTCCCGCTTTGGCTTCGCAACGAGGGTCTGGCTTGGTGTGACCTTTTTGGAATCCTGGAAGCGACAAGTCGCAGCTAGGGGGGCGAAGTCCGTTGTTCCTCCGTTTCGCTAGCAGAAAGACCGCACCGGGGGCAGTGAAGTGAAGTGACGTACAAATGTGCGTAAGTACCTACGTAGGTATGCATGATGGGTGGATGGGTAGGATGGATGGATGGATGGATGGATGGATGGATGGTGCACCTTCTTCCCGTCCTCCTCTGCTGCTCCGTCAGCTAGTGGGTGCTCGAGTGTGTGCCCGTCAGGCGAAGCGCGCGCAACAGCTAGAAGAGGCCTTGTCTGTGACATCCCCATGTTGATTCCAACGAGATGGGCTTCAGCTAGCGCGCCACAGGCTACGCAGGTCACATTGCAGCGAAAGCAGCAAGTAGAACGTCGGCGCCAGAAGGTTGAGTTTCGGGACTCAGGCTGACATCGGGCCCGGGTCTGGTCGACTAGTCGGACCGACCGATGCACCGAGGCGAGCTGCCACCTCTGCTGAGCGAAGGCGTGTGGAGCGAATGCTGGAAGTTCGTGGGGCATCTTGGCCGTAGAGTTGATGGGAACATTCCATCTGTTTCTGTTGTCGTCTCCGACGCCTTGAGCACATGAGGAATCGCTCCCCACATTGAGCGAGGTGGGGAGATGGGAGGGCTCAGTCCAAGTACAGGATCGGCTCGTGTCTGCCGAGGCCCGTTCGATGACGGTCTTGCAGCTGCGAGACCTGCTCTGGAAGGCCGGGCGCAGCCACATCTCGTTTGTTAAAACGCCCTGCAGCTGGCGTCGGCCTAGGCTGGCTTCCCGGCCAGAGGAGTGCCAGCACCGTCGGCAGCTAGGCATGGGATCAAGGGTCCCGTCACGGTCAGTTTCTCGTGCGCCGCTCCCTGTCAGGGAGATGCCACCAGATCAGCTGAAACTCCGGCTCTCCCAAGTGAAGGTGCAGCTTGCATTTGCTGAACCTGAACGGTGTCGTTTTTGTGGGCTTGTGTCCTCCGGAGCTGAGCAATCCAGGCGCGGTTTCTCGAGATGATCAGCCCCATCCTAGAGGTGCCATGCACTGGCAAAAGGTACGACCCTCCCCATGTGACCTGAAGGATGTCCCAGCAGAGGATGCAAAGTGAGTGCGGCTACCGCTGCAGAGAGCGGGATAAGGACATGGTAGGATGCGATCTCCTTGCCGCGCAGCTTCGGAAAAGACCAAGTTTTCTGGGAGGGTGACAGCATTGCGGTCCACTGTTTTTTTTTTCCTAGGTCTGGCCTGGTCTGGGGGGCCTTGCTAGGTCTGGTCCCATGGTCCCTTGGTCCCCTGGCCCTTTGGTCCTCTGGTCCTGGTCGCCTGGTCCTTTGGTCCTCCGGTCCCCTGGTCCCTGGTCCGCTGGTTCCCTGGTGTCTCCTGGTCCTGTACCCCTAAACCCTCAAACCGCCAAGACTTGAGCCAAGCTTTCTTCCTCATACTTCTCAACATTCAGGAGTGAGTGCATCAAGCACTCATCCAAGACTGCTTGTACCGGCACGACCACGACGGCAACGACGAGGACGAGGACGAGGACGACGACGACGATGACCTAGATGTCGACAACGACACCAAAAAACAACGCCAGAAGACAGAAGGTTTGAAATTGGCATTTCGCACTATTCACACGCGAAACACGACCCTGCAAATTGTAGTGCTCCAATACCTTCATGCAATACACAAGCAAAACCAGACCCTGCGAATGCTAGTTCCCCATTAGCTTGATGAAAAACACAAACAATAAAAGACTCTGCAAATTGTAGTTCCCCAATAGCTTGATGCAAAACACAAACAAGGCCGACCCCGCAAATTGTAGTTCCCCCATTAGCTTGATGCAAAACACAAGCACAAGAACACACCGCAAATTGTAGTTCCCTAGTGGCTTCATGCAAAAGACAAGCAGATGAACACACCGCAAATTCTAGTTCCCTAATAGCTTCAAGCAGAACACAAGCAGAAGAAGACCCTGCGAATTGTAGTTCCCCAATAGCTTGATGCAAAACACAAGCAACACCGATCCCTGCAAATGCGAACCCCCCAATAGCTTCATGCAAAACACAAAGAAAACCGAACCCTACAGCAACAACAAGAACACCAGCAACAGCAACAACAACAACAAGAACAACTACCACGACGGCAACGACGAGGACGAGGACGAGGACGACGACGATGACCTAGATGTCGACAACGACACCAAAAAACAACGCCAGAAGACAGAAGATTTGAAATTGGCATTTCGCACTATTCACACGCGAAACACGACCCTGCAAATTGTAGTGCTCCAATACCTTCATGCAATACACAAGCAAAACCAGACCCTGCGAATGCTAGTTCCCCATTAGCTTGATGAAAAACACAAACAATAAAAGACTCTGCAAATTGTAGTTCCCCAATAGCTTGATGCAAAACACAAACAAGGCCGACCCCGCAAATTGTAGTTCCCCCATTAGCTTGATGCAAAACACAAGCACAAGAACACACCGCAAATTGTAGTTCCCTAGTGGCTTCATGCAAAAGACAAGCAGATGAACACACCGCAAATTCTAGTTCCCTAATAGCTTCAAGCAGAACACAAGCAGAAGAAGACCCTGCGAATTGTAGTTCCCCAATAGCTTGATGCAAAACACAAGCAACACCGATCCCTGCAAATGCGAACCCCCCAATAGCTTCATGCAAAACACAAAGAAAACCGAACCCTACAGCAACAACAAGAACACCAGCAACAGCAACAACAACAAGAACAACTACCACGACGGCAACGACGAGGACGAGGACGAGGACGACGACGACGATGACCTAGATGTCGACAACGACACCAAAAAACAACGCCAGAAGACAGAAGATTTGAAATTGGCATTTCGCACTATTCACACGCGAAACACGACCCTGCAAATTGTAGTGCTCCAATACCTTCATGCAATACACAAGCAAAACCAGACCCTGCGAATGCTAGTTCCCCATTAGCTTGATGAAAAACACAAACAATAAAAGACTCTGCAAATTGTAGTTCCCCAATAGCTTGATGCAAAACACAAACAAGGCCGACCCCGCAAATTGTAGTTCCCCCATTAGCTTGATGCAAAACACAAGCACAAGAACACACCGCAAATTGTAGTTCCCTAGTGGCTTCATGCAAAAAGCAAGCAGATGAACACACCGCGAATTCTAGTTCCCTAATAGCTTCAAGCAGAACACAAGCAGAAGAAGACCCTGCGAATTGTAGTTCCCCAATAGCTTGATGCAAAACACAAGCAACACCGATCCCTGCAAATGCGAACCCCCCAATAGCTTCATGCAAACCACAAAGAAAACCGAACCCTGCAACTTGTGGTTCCCCAACAGCTTCATGCTAAACACAATCAAAATCAGACTCCGCAAGTTGTAGTTCCCCAATAGCTTCATGCAAAACAGAAGCAAAACCAGAGCCGTCGAATTCTAGTTCCCCAATAGCTTGATGCAGCAAAGACCGCAGTTGCCGCTGTTGGCAACCACAACCAGTGGGCCAGACTTAGGAAAGCAAACCGGGGAGGGCCAGACCTAGGAAAAAAAAACCGCTCCGCCATGCATGTGGCCTTGCACGTGGCAGCTCCTGTGTGATAGTGTGATGAGGAAAAGCTTCGCCTGCTGGAGACACGTGCGAAGGAACGCCAGAGACAGGAGGCTGGACATGTCTGGACGAGGGATCCCGAAAGCTTCAGAGATGCAGAGAGTTCTCAGGACGAAGAGCGCCAGGAGCAATTGCGCGCCGGGGGCCCTAAGCTGTCGTGATGCGGAGGACTACTAGTGAGCGTTTGACATTGATGAAGCTGTGCACGGGAGCAGTGAGAGTTCCTCGCGAGATTTATGGCCAGCCTGAGAAAGCGCACAACCGAGGTGTTACGTGGAGAAGTCAAGCGAGATGATCCGTATGAACCGATGCAGTCAGACACCTTGGAACAGGCACAGATCTTTCTGCACCCTTTCCGGGCACTTGGAGCTTCGTGCTCTGCACCACTCCCCTCTGCACTTTGTGGGGTATGTCACGTGTCTCATCCCTGTCCGTCTCCAGCCATGCCAGGTGGTGGCCCCAGCTTTTGCGGAGGCGACCGCGGTTTGAACGAGACCTTTGCAGCATGAGATGTGATGGCAGAGCCCGCTTGGGCAGGTTCCGCCGCCACCTGCGCCGGTTCCAGAGGCGAAATGCGTCCAAAATCATCCAAATCATGGCAGACGGACGCCGACGAATGCCCGCGTCTCTGAAGTCGGAGGCAGCACCAGAGCCCCCGGCTGCAGTTCCAGAGGCCTGAGCCGTCCTTGAAGCCGCGTGGGCAGTTCCTCGTTTGTTCGAAGCCGTGCGCAGGTTGCAGCGTCCAAGGCCAGGTCATCGTGAGGGAATCTGTTTCAGGATGGACCTGTTGAGCCTGAGGCTACGTTTCCAAAGCCGCCTCCGCCAAAGAAGGCCAAAGAAGATTCACGATTCAAACTGCACTTCATGTGATGGGTATCCACACATCGATGCAGTACTGGAGCTAGTCTCGTTTGAGTGAGCGGAAGCCCAACTCAGGCGGCCAGCTTTTATGTTCCCCCACCAGTGCCGCCGCCAAAGGCTCCGCCCATGCCACCCAAACAGGCTGGGGCTGGGGTGGATCAGACGCCCCTTATTTGGGGCATCGGGAAGTTGCAACCGAGGTGGCATCGCCGGAGCTGCGACCTCCGCCTAAGAAGGCACAGACAGGGCCACCGGGTTGCTGTCACGCTTTCACTCAGAGCTCGTCTGCAAGGAGGCCGTGGCACCTAAGGCAGCGTCTTCCTGCTCTGCCACGGCCTCGGACAATCATTTCGATTCTCGATTACTAAGCCTATCGTAGCTTGACGACCTCGTCGCAGTGTGAGCGCTCTTCGCCGTTCATGGCTCGGAGGTGTGGGGCGACCTGGACGACTTGCGGCCAGTAAGAGGAAATGCAGACCAACAATTTCCCGACATATCCTCGGGCCCACAGTCTAAGAAGGAGCCGGCAGTCCCGGTACACAGTAGCAGACAGCAAAAGAGGAAGAGCTTCTTCGACAGGAGAAGCAGAAGACTGCGGCTAAGAACCTTGTGGAGCCCGTTGCCAAGCATCCAGTCCAGGCGACTCACAAGTTCGGCTGGGGCCTCGGAAAGTCTCCTTGCGAAGCTCGGCGAAGCTGTCAAGACCGAGAGCAAAATCAGCGCATTGATTGCACCACAGGCCATGCGCAGCGAGCTGCACCGACCTTTGCCTTGCAGGACATGTTATGTCTAGTCAGTCTAGTCTGACACCTCCAACATCGCATGGGGCAGGACTTGATGAAGCCGTCGAAGAAGGGCAGATCGGCCAAGATTTTCTCGGGCAAGGTGCACTGGGCCATGATCAGCCGCCACGAGATGTATCGCAAGACAGCCGAGATGACTCCATGCGAACATGGCTAGGATAAACGGCTTTGAGACGCGGCTTCTGCTCAGCCGCTGTATGTGCCAGGCTGCGCTTCCTCAGCAGACTGGAGCATTCGTTGAAGAAGGGGCAGGTGGGTGGCGGGGGCGCGGTGCAGCGGATGTCAGGCGTTGTGCGTTCTGTTCCCTTCCCCTTTTAGGCGACCCCGAGCTTGATGCCGAGCCCGCCGAGCCCGTGCAGAAGCCACCGTCTCCTAAGATGACACCGAACGGGCCCGGGCCTCATCCCTAAGTCATGGGCTCGCACCATCCCACACTCGATCCAGATGTGGGGCTGAGAGTTTGTACCTTTGGCATTTAGGGCCGGGCGACACCCAGGATCCTGCAGCGTGCCCCGCGCGAGAAGCGCGACGATGGCAGCCGGCGAGTGCGAGATCCCAAGGGAGAGGCGCGGTCATGCCGATGGCGGAGCCGAGCGCCGATTTCGCTTCAGTGGAAGCTTTGGGCAGCTATCCGTGAGGACACGGAGGATGTTGAAGTGACAATCCAGACGCAAATGAAGATCGATCCGCAGGTGGGAGACATCGAAGCGTTTAAGAACGGAGCCACACTTGTGGCACTGTTTGATCCTGCATCACTCGCAGAAGCCGCTGCGCATCCTTCAGAAGTCTGCAGAAGAGAAGGCCAAGGAGCAGGAGGCTCTCACATAAGTCACGGCGTTGTTCATGTCATTTGCCCTGTCTCCCGAGCAATTAAAAGCGGTCCCAATTGCCCCGAACCCAAATGCGAGGCTCATGCACCCCGAGTGGAGCCGCGGACAGAGGTCCGCCTGTGACGCTTGCTGGGTTGGCTTGGAAATGCATTGATTTGCATATCTGGCAGGCTTCCAGCAAGGGTGTAAGCAAAGGCGAAGGCAAGCAAGGCAAAGGCTCCGGCAAGTCCGTGCCTGAAAGGAACTTCGCGCCTTTAAGGACGTTCCCATCCTCGTGCTGGCAAGGTCAAAGGACAAGGGCAAAAGCAAGGGCAAGGGGCGTGGACCTCGCATTTACGGCGAGGCCATTGGGTGGTCAGCACACTTGCTGCACTCGGCACCGCCACAGTCTGGAATTATTCGGAGGACTCTGATGCCGAGTGGAGCGTCGCCTCTTCGCATTCGAATTCAGAGGAGGAGAAGGTCTGCTTTGCTTCTAGCTCTGTAGCTCGAGCTACTCTAGCTCTGCAGTCTGTTTGTTAATTCTGAGAAGGAGAGCCCGCTGAACGAGAGCTCCCCAGTAGTCGTCTCCTCCGAGGATGAGGAGCTGTGACAAAAAACCCCTTCGCGCCGTATCCTTTCCACTGCCGCCGGGCTCAGGACTCCTGGGCTGCGAAGCCCTTCGCACACCAGGCAAGTTTACTGCACCTCGCGGGAGAGCGTGTCTTCAGTTCGCAACGCATCTCGGAAGCAGGAGAAAGGCCATGGCAAGGATGCCAAAGGCAAGGGCAAAGGCAAAGCAAAGGGAAAGGACAAGAAAGGCGGAAAGAAAGGCCTGTTGTCCTGTGCACACCCGATGACAGCCGAAGAAGCGACCGCGTCTTCGACAGGATGGATCGTCAAGACAAAGTCCAACGATTCTGAAGAGGAGGATGAGGAGGCAAAGCATCCAATTAGCACCATAATCATGGATTCTGAACCGCTACATGGCTACATCGCGGACCAGGTGCATGAGACGCCTGCTGCACCTGAGACACCAGCAGTGCCCGAGACGGGCAAGCAACAATTCGTGCAGCCAGCCAGTTTCCTTTCTCACTGCATTATGAAGCCTTGGGGCTCCAATACATGCTGTTGCCAGGAGAAGAGACAGAGGAACCTCAAGAGTGTCCTTGAGTCCTGGACTTGGCTTCTCAGTTCCGCGTCTAGTCCAGTGACATGAAGTCTGCATGAGTGTCAGTGCACGTCCTGCGGAGGTCTCGAGCTGCCACGCGAGCAGAGGCGGAGCGACAGAGAAAGATGCTGCGCGAGAAGGCCACAACAGCAAAAAACAGCTGATGGACTGCAATTTTCGGTGCTTGATGTTTTTGGGGTTTGGGTTTACAGAACTGAGCCGGGGATGTATTTGGCCTCAAGTTTACGAGGATTTGCACGTTCTACAAACTTCGTTTCAGGGTCGTAGAGTTCGTTGGTTTGGTGTTGACGTCCAAGATGCCCACCACAGCCTACATGCCCAGGCCGCCGGTGCAGAGGTGCAGCCTGTGAAGGCATCGGCTGCTCACAGATTGCAGCTCTCGGCGAGGGCGCTTTGAGAGACTTTCAGGTGGAGGAAAATTCTCCGACGTCACCGGTGAACACCGAGCAAAAGCAGGAGGACGAGGAGACTTGGGGACCACGGCGATGCCAAGTCAGGGCCGAAAGGCGCTGCGGGAGTTGTTGTGTCAGGAGGAGCCGCCCGTCGTCCCACAGTCTAGCATCCTTAGTGAGGAGGCACGGGGCACAGGGATGAGCCTGGAGACTTTTGCCGGGCGCTTCTGACCAGGCTATGGGCCGACTGAATCCCGTCGCAGACACAGGCCTTGCCTTGGGCATTGGCATGGCTCTGTGCTGAGATATGCTACAGCTTGCTGGCAAGTAGCTTTCTCGAGCACCCAAACCAAAGCACCCTGCAAGGGCACACGTGCACAGGACGTTGTCCTGGGGTGTTCTACTGGTGCCGTTTTCATGTTGTTCTTCTTTCATCTGTAGCACTCCTTCTCCATGGCACATCAACCCTTTGGTGCGAAGACCAGTGCTTGCCTTTGCAGCATCCTACAAAGAACGCAAGCACAAGAGCTGAGGCTGCGGCTGTGTCTAACACAGCTTGTCTTTCCCTTAGGGCCTTAGGGCGCCATATCCTCCGTCCTCCACCGCCTCCGCCGACCGCCTTGTGCTTCCCTTTGCCTGGGGGATAAAGGCTACGCGGCCAGGTCCCGGGAGCTTCGGTAAACGCACGTGCGCTACGCTTTGAGCATCATCCTCGATTTTGTGTGAATTCATCTTCATGCCAGATTTCGGATTTCCCCCGTCAGCTTGACCACATCATTCGGAGACAGGGATCTGGAAATGCTTGTCACGTCCTACAAAAACGGCAGGAGAACTGCGCTTCCCAGCGGGACGAATGACCGTAATTTGGTCTGCTCTGAAGGGAGTTGCTCACACAGAGCTGAGGTCTGCGTGCAGGGTGAGGAGAAGCAGGCTGGTGAATAGACTTCAACCATAGCCCTACCTGCGGGCCTCGTCTTGCATCAGGTAGATTCCCATGAGCTCCTTGATTTTGAAACAGCCTCGAGCCCGGTGCAACTCTCTCACTCGTCTCAGAGAGGTGTTGCGCCCTGTAGACCAAGCACTACTCAAAGAGTCCTCGCGACGTGGATCCTGTGAGAAGTGTCGTAAGGTGAAGAATCGGACCGAAAAGAAGGCCGAGATGCGTGAGCAGCGTCGGGTTCAGGAGGCAGGGCAGGGGGGCCCAGGGGGGCAGGAGGGCAGGAAGCTGCTCGAAGGCTTCACCGCCGCACCCCGGAAGCTTTCCCGCTCCGCCGCAGTTCCCATGCTAGGAGCAAGCCACACGAGCTGCTATCCGACGTGAAGCCCAGCGCCAGCGAGACATGCGTGCCAAGGCGCTTGCAGTGTGTTGTATTGAAACCGGAGACGTGGCGCATATGCTGGGCTGCTGGGCAGGAAGCGCAGGAAGCTAAGGCCAGGGCAGCGTGGAGCGGAGCATGCGGAGCATGGTAGGGAGGGGATGTCCATCAGCAGCCTTGCCGAAGGCCAGCCAAATGGCGACGGAGGCTCAGGCTCAGGCCCGGGCTTTGGGCGAATCTTTGCTACCGCTAATCTTAGTTGTGCTGGTAGGGTTTTTGGCTGCGCGGACTGCGCCAGGCACCACGCCAGCAGACGATCAAGCTTGCCGATCTCAGGCGATACTGTCACTGCGTGTTTCAACCGACTCTGTCGTCAGCTTCCTCACTGACGCAAGGCGCAATGTGGGCAAAGAGCGGATGGAGTCCGAATCGGCCAAGTCCTCGTCATTCAACGAAGATCTGATCCGATGCCCCTTGCAAGTGCGGCTCGTGCATCATGTCGAAAGAAGTGCTGTGTGAGGAGCACGAGTCACATTCTGATTTTGTTGCTTTGCCAACGAGTTCGCTTCATCGTGCTGCAGGCAGAAGCTGCCCAGGAAGAGCTGGCGGCTCACGTCGAGGCCATCGCCAGTCGCAGAATGTCGCAGAGTCGCAGAGCCTTCCTCCAGCTCCCGGCGGGGTCCTGACATGCAGTCCTGTCCATCGGAGGCTCCGCGCCGTCAGGCCATGAAGCTCTCCGACCTGAGGCTGCTTCTGCACTTGCATCGCTTTGCATTGCAACCGCCTTGTGTAGGGGTTGTGCGTGAGAGAGGGGGAGAGAGAGAGAGAGAGAGAGAGAGAGACAGAGATAGAGAGAGAGAGAGAGAGAGAGAGAGAAAGAGTGTGTGTGCGCATTCAGGTACAACGTTCCGGAGGACCAGCCGCTGAAAGCAGTGATGCCAGCTCGATTGATTTCAGCGCTCAATGGAGATTGACTTTGTCGCCGTTGAAGCTGTGCAAGTCTCGGTTCCCAGCCTCATCACGTAGTCAATCGAGCGATGCACATCCAGAGCACAATCTCGCCACAGACTGCTCGTTCGGTCAAAGTGTACTTCAGCTTCCAACCACAGCACTCTGCAAACTCCCCCCACAAGTGCGTAGTTTTTCGACGCACAAATGGCTGGCCAGTTGTCTTGGGCATGGAGCGAGGGATCGTGGTACGTTGCAGACTACGCTAAGTCTGCCCGATCGAGTTGCAAGGAGTTCCGCTGCAAGCAAAAGATCAACAGTGGCGAGCTTCGGATAGGTATTGAAGCTCCCGAGAACGACCACCGCGGCAGCCAGCTTGGCTGGTACCATCCCGGTTGCCTCTGGAAAACCTTCAAATACAAATCCAATGCCAATAAGGAGATTACATCAACGGGAGACATCCATGGATTTCAGAAGCTGAAAGCAGACGATCAAGCCAAGATAAAGACGCTGCTGGAGGGCAGGCAATCGGAGCCCCCAGCAGGGGCCTTGGCCCCTGCTGCTTCCGCTGCCTTGCGCCGAAAGGTGATTTCGAAAATAGAAGGGAACCAGATGACCCTCACAGGTGCTACCTTCCATTTCAAGGAGGATCTGAAAAAGTTTGGTGCAAAGTTCGATGGTGCGACCAAAGCCTGGGTCATTACGAAACAGGAAAACGATTCTTTCGACGATGTGTTAAAGTTTTTGGCTGGAGACGGCCACGAGAAAGGTGGCGAAGGGTCCTCTAACAAACGTCAGAGGACTTGACGGATCTCGCAGGGATTTTCATGAAGTAGCCGCGAAAGCGGCTATTGCCCACTGGTGCCCTGCGACGTGCTCCGAAGAACTCATCGAACAAGTTTCGAAATTAGAGGTTGCATCGGAAGACACGTCTGTGCGGATAGCCATCGGCCTTGAGAGTGTTGAGTCAGATGTGCACTGCCTTCCGAGCTTCCGCTCCTCGGCCAGGTGCCTCCGCCGGTGCCCCCGCCGCGGCAAGAGACGTGGACCGCTGGGGAGGCACTGCAGCCACACGTCAAAGATGTCATGCTTCAATATATTATTGGAAGCACTTTCCAGGGCTTGCCATATCCGACGCACGGACCACCACCCTACCGCCCGCCTGATGTGCGTCGCAGTCCCGGAGAAGACAGGCAGACTTCCTCGCAAGGTAAACCACTGAAGTTTGACTAAGGTGAGCAGGTACGGAAAATCTTGATGGCGGAGAGGAGAGCATTCAGCGCAGGCGAGGCCAACAGAAACCCTTTGGTGACGGCCCCACCGCCAACGTCCCACGTGACACCCGTTCCTCCGCCCGCCCCAATGCCGCGGGCCTCGGCCCCCTCGGTCCCTTCGGCACCGCGACGAGGCTTCCAGGAAGGCCGGCTCTGAACATCGCGAGAAGCAGTCCTCCTCAGTTCAGTGTGCGGGTTTGGCAGGCAAGGGAGCCGGCAAGCCGTTCGGAGATGCAGACGGCCTGCTGTGCCATGCTTGAGGTCTTCTTCAGGTCAAGCCTTTTGCCTGGAAGCATGCTTCGTGTGATTTTGTGTGCAAGGGTCCGGCTTGTTTTGATTTTCGGCCCAAGCAACTTAAGCTCAGGCCTAGCCGATTGACGGCCGCAACATGCCACAAGTCTAACCGCATCCCTGTGCTGCTATCACAGCTTCTTCATGTCAACGTTTCACGGATGACTCCTGTCCTGCGCCACCGCCTCCTCCACCACCTACAACACAGGCAGAGTGAGATGTGCTGGTGCCTGCTCTGATTCGCTGCACCATGCGAGGCCTGGTGGAAGGCCTTTCGGTGCCATGCATCCTCGCAGCCAACCTTCCTGGGGCTGGGATCGCAGTGTTGGAGGCAGGCCTCTTGCTTTTGGTTTGGGTGTAGGCGTTCCATTGTTGCATCTCGCTGACAGGTCAATGGGGCTATGCGCCGATGCAGGTGATGCAAGAGACCCCAGGGTCCTGTGGCTGGAATTCCTTTGGTCCCTCTGTGCCCTGGAGTGCAGAAGGAATGCAAGGCATGGGTTGGGTACGCTCGTTTCCACACGAGATGCCACGAGGCTCCCGCCGTGTGGGGAGTTCCCGAGGCTCCAGCGATATGGCACACGCAGCTTTCTTCGAAATGCTTTCAAATAGCAGCTTAGCGGCTGGACCGTGCGATCCTATCCTGGACCAACCGAGGAATGAGCAGCAGGGCTTGCATCTGCAGGCAACAGTGCATCGTTATCCCCAAGGCCAGGACGCGGCTGCTGTCAGGTGCGACTCGATTCGTTGACCGCCTTGAGGTGGTGAGAGATATGGTGGTGAGACGGCGGCCTGTGCGATTCCAGGCCTGGCCCGCGAGGCGGAGCTCTCAGGACCATCAGCATCCACTGCAACTGCAAAGCTTAGCACAGGATCAGAACATGACTAGACTCATGAACCGCCATTAGCCTCAGGCGATGGTAGGCATGCCAATGTTGAGGGAGGCCTGTGGGGTTGCCTCGCGCGGGTCTACGTTGTTTGTGTTCGGTGCAGCTACCGCCAGTTCTAGGGACCTGGCTTTGTGGATGTAATGACGAGTGATGCAGGCGATTCCCGGACAGCACTCGGAGTGGCAAAGGGGAGGCCGTGGCCGTGGGAGGGGCCCAGATTCGCGTCGGTTTTGTTCTCGGCTGATTGGCAGGGACAGGGACGGCAGCTTTGCTCTCAAGGCCTTTGCCTTTGCACGCAAGAGACGTCAGGGCCCGAGCCACGCTGCGCCGCGTCTGCACTTCTGTCGAAGACTGACCATGACTAGGGCCCAGCAGGCCCAGTTCCAGGTGGCAAAGGTGGGCCGCAAAGCCGCATTTGGTGGGAGCTTTTCTTGTGCGGGTGAGGAGCACTTTAGATTGGAAGAGAACGGATATCCTTGGTCCGACCAAGTCTAGACTCAGGTTCCCTGGACGCGCATCGGCAGAAAGGCCCAAGGACGAGCAGGCGATGTATTTATTGCTCATTCCTGGCTGGGTAGCTGCTGGTGTGCTTGAACCGGCACCACAGCTTCGTAATCGTGCCGCTGAAACAAGGCTGGAGTGGGGGCCAGCTCGCTGCCACGCCAGCAGGTGGGAGGTGTTTTGGCTTGCAGTTGTGGGTCTGAGGAGGGTGCCCCGACGTGCTCCTGTGAGTCTCGCCTGCAGGCCTTCCATCGCAAAATGCACATCGCTGAGAGCTATTGATGCTGCACCTGCATGTGAAGCAGATGCATCGTTCCGGGTGCCCGTTGCAACGGCCGACCAAGGCGCAACATCCAGCTGAACAAGGCCTGCGACGAATGCTTGAAGCGAGTTGCGATCGCTTTTACAGAGTTTTTTTGCAGCCCAGAAAAGCCCACGCTCAAGGAGTTGCTGGGCTGTGACAGCCCCGAGAAGATCCTGAAGATCTGCGACGAGAGCTTAGATGAGTTCAACCAGGTCAATGCTTCTTGGCCAAGGAAGCTTAAGGAAACTGGCCATGGCCTCCGCGTGAGTGGGTGAAAGTGGATGCACCGGCACCGGTGTGCTTCTCCGTGTGTGATTCTTTCATGGCCAAGTTCAATGTTGAGGTGGTGACGGCCTTGCATCGCATCGCCAAGCACCACAACAAGGCCTCGTCATATCGAAATCTGAGACAGCTGGAATGCCTGCCTTTCCAACTCTTTGTCATGCTAATCTCCTCGCACTTTTGTTGGTCCTTGCCAGGGCACCTCCGGCGGGGAAGCCAAGGGAAGCAACGGCTGAGTCGCCTGGAGTGCGCCTGAAACTGAAAGCTTCGACGCCAAGCTCGCCTGCGACCTTCCGCCCCGGCGGATTGCGACAGCCAGTTCTGACGTGGACGTTGAAGGCCTCCGTCGTGACGACGATGACTGGTGTCGCCAGCCCCGCGCGCCTGGAAAAGCCTTGCGTTGCCGTCTTTTCATGAGCAAGCTCCGAGCCCGCAAAAGCGGATGCGCTCGCCAGGCTGGGAGACCTGGTCCCCAGACGATTGGAAAAGGTTGCTTGACAGCACTGGGTGCGGATCTACCATTTGACCATGTGTGCTCCATGATCCGTTGTGTTTTGTCGTTGTGTGAGGTCCGATTACTGCCCTGAATGGGCCTGGGCGGAGGACTGCGACCCATTGTTCCATTGTCTGGAGAGAGGTGGGTGTTTCGTGTGCAATGTTGGTATGAACATGGCCTGAAGGAGGAAGCTTCGCACGCCAAGGGAGCCGAGGAGAGAAGGCTTGGACAAGGGCCAGTTTAGGATATGTTTCCGGGACGTTTTAGCGCACGCTTGGAGCAGGAGGGAGATCATGGCGGCGGCGAACGAATGGAGGCGGAAGGGATTTTTCCCTTCTTGCGCATGCTGATATGACTTTCATGTCGTCCTGCTACAGGAACCGTAAGGCTTCCGCCAAGGGCAGCAAAAGCAGCCCGAAAGGAAAAGGAGAAGTCAAAGGAAAGGCGGAGAGCAAAGGAAAAGCCCCAGTCAAAGGCAAGGGCGATAGCAAAGGCAAAGCCGATGCAAAAGGCAAAGCAGATGGCAGAGGCAAAGGCGACAGCAAGGGCGGAAAGTCCAAGGGCGCGAAGGGCCAGTCAAAAGGCGCTCAGTGGTGGCACTGAGTTGATGCACGCATGGCATCGACGGTTTCAGCTCACGCTTGCTAGCTCAGAAGCATCTGTCGTCGGGCAGAAACTGTGTGCTCGTCAAGTCAGCTTGTGCAATCTTGATGGTGACATATGGTGACACTTGCTATGCTGGCTACTGACAGAGCTTCCAGAGCCGTTTATGGGTTTCCCAGTGCCCCAGCTGGATTGGCATGTCTCCTCCTGTACGAATACAAGGTGCAATCGTCAAAGCTGAAACACATGACGAACGACTAGGGTAGCTCATCAGTATACATCGGCCTGCAAAGCAGCTGGGCATGCTGAAGAGTGCCGGCAAAAAGCATGGCACAACAAGATAAAGCCAATTGGATCAACGGTGCTAGCCGCTAGCCACTATCACTATTACTAGTTATTGGGTTATTGTCTGGCATGATCAGATGTCTGCGTGAGGCTGCACGAGCCTCCAGTATCTTGCGACTGATTTGTTGCAGCACGGGTGGACTGTTGTTAGCTAGTCTCTTCCGGGCTGAGTGGTACCTTTTATCTTCATCGTTGTTTGAGCCCGAGCCGGAAAGGGAAGGCTTATCAAGACACGAAGCATCGCGAGGAACCGCTCAGCAGAATTTTGCCTCAGGGACAGTAGCCAGGTGGGCCCTTGACGCTGCGTTCCACGTTGCTGTTGGGACTTACTCTCGACGAATGAAGAATCCCTCAACGAGTTTACTGACAACGCAAGAGGAGTGCGGAGTGTGGAAGCAGTGAGACGGACAGGATCTCTGGACGCCGTCAGGGTGCTCGTTGGAGTTTGCAGTGTGCCTTGCGGTGGGCATCTGTCTCTGTGAGGAATCTACCTCCAATTGCGTAGCACGGGTAGGCGCCCGGCTGAATCTTTGAGACAAAGTAGATTGTCCACGGGCGGACCGGTTCCACTGCAGATTCCTTCGCTCCGGATGAAAGGGCTCGGACCGTGGGAAGAGGATACAAGGATACATTCCTCAGATGTGAAGTATGTCAGTATGAAAGGATGATACCATGTGCCATGTGCTTTCTTCGTTCTTGCTTCCCTACGGTCCCTGCTGTGTACTATCAACATTGGATGGAGCAATGACGAGAGAAACGCGCACAGAAGAAAAGCAGTTCACGGCGAATGGTCGCGAAGTGCGACATGTGCAGGTGGGGTAGCTCGTGGCCCGATTGGAGCATTTGCCCCTACTTTCGGCTCTAGATGGTGGGCCACGAAGCGCAGCACGGTCTTCGCAGGTGCACAGCACGAGAATCTGAGCAGAGCGCAGCAACGCCACGCTGTGCAGGCACATTGTCTGTTGCTTGAGGCAAAGCCGCGGAGTTCGGCATGGCCTTGGCTCCCGCCAGGCGTCGGCGTGGCTGGGGTCGCTCTAGGTGAGGCATCTGCCCGCATAATCCAGTTCATGTTCTGTGAGGAGCCATTGGCTTAGTCTTTAGCTGTTCAGTCCGATCAGTTTACAAATGGTCGCATGAAGCTCTGCCACAGTAGTGCAGATTGCAAGATAGTCCAGGCTGCTGCCCCCGATAATGCTGAACAGCAGGATTGCAGGCGTTTTCACTGGATGCTGAAGCAGCACTGTCAAGCCAGGACAGGCAGGCCGAAATTCAATTCCGGCTCAGCCTCAGCCCGCACCACCACAACTCCAACCGTCGGCTTCCATCCGCGAAGAGCTGCGAATTTCAAAGCTCCTGCCGAAGCCATGGCGCTTCGCATGCTCGCGTTGGGAGTGCTGGCCGAGAAGGTGCTAGGGCTGGTGCTCAGCGACTCTCGGCTGACGAAACTGAGGCCAAGGCGATGCCAAGTCCGAGAGCCTTGTTTTGCTCGTCAAAGCCCCTCACCCCTCGCCGGCCCCGCCAAGGAAGTTGCAAATCGTGGCTTCGACTACAGGCAGATCGCGAGGTCACTGATCGGGAAAGCACAAGACTTGACGCCAGAGGCCGGGGTCCAAACAAGCCTTCTGCACGTCATGCACGCCTGGCTTCCGGGTGAGGCCTGCGACCAGCAGTGTCTGGCGAATCCCGACTGCATCTCATGGCAGGTTTGCGTGGCTTGGCAATAGCTCTGGCCACAACTTGAGAGCTTGTCCGTGGGTGCGGGTGGCTCGCGGAGCTGCAGCGGGCCACTAGACCGAGCACCCGCTCTTTTCGCGAGGCACCTATAGGTGGTGGCTGTGATGGCTGCTATCAGATGCGGAACTGGCCGGAAATCGGCGAGAAATCTGGCTGGTTCGCCCGCGTGCTTGAGTCTTGGTTGCACACGGGCATAGCGCATACCATCTAGCCTGATGCTGTGATCCACAATGGTCTGCAGGAAGATCGAGCACGGAGCAAAAATCTGACTGTAACTTGGCAGAGCAATGTGGGATCTGAGCCTCGCTGACGATCTTACGATCCAAGGTAGGGGAACACAATGCGCTGCCTTCAAACGTTCGCGGCTCAGGCTTGTAGCCGTAGCCGCCATAGCATTGATTTCCCTTTCCCCGGCTGGAGGTCAGCATGCCCACCACGACAGAGGGCTGCAAGGAGTTTCTGCTGTCTGCAAACGGTGGAGCACCGGAGTCGGACCTGAACCACTCCATCTACAACAGGCTGCAACGCAATCTTCGGGAGCAGTAAGCTTGGGCTGGGTGACCGAAGAGGCATGCGACTCATTGCAATGTGATGTCGCTGAAGACAGGTGTGGCGAGATGCTGCGCAGCACAGACGAGGCCCCCAAAGAGCCGACTGTTTGCGCCATCCTCGGCCTGATGAGTTTGGGCACGGCATGTCAGTCAGAGTTTCACGTCGAGGTAGAGAGGTCTTGCCGCTACTAAGCTAAAGCTAATGTGTCATTCGCAAAATGACGCAGGCCAAGGGCATCGCAGTGCTTGGCCAGCACTGGCCTGTTTCGTCCCTTGGCCGATACCTGTCTGCCGGGCTCTGTATTCCCTGGCCCAAGTGGACCAGCCTTCAAGAGCTCAGGCTAGTCTACAACTTTCGTGACCCTGCAATCTCGGTCCCGCCAGAGATAGAGGATGCCAATTCATGCATCAAGAGAAGCTGGACGGATCTATCTCCAAGGTATTTTCCCCTAGAAGGATTCTTGATGCCAAGCCCGCCGGCAGGAGCAGTGGAAGGGAAGTGGAAACGCAGTGCGGCAGTCTGCCTACCAGGAGCCTCGGGGAGTTGCGAGAGTTTGCTGGGATTCTCGATTCTCCTGCATGGGCCCTTGACCAGGAGCCCGGGGGCCCTGGATCTGTGACTGCAGAGTTGCACAGTTCGACCAACACAGAGGTGCTGCGTTCGTCCTGTGCACGTACAGGGTTGGGTCTAGGCTGGGGTGCTGGAAACAGGTGTTGCCCAAGACGCCCCTGCATGCCTTTGCACTTCCGTTCTACGATACCAACATCGCTGCGCTCTTAGAGAAGCCACAGCGCAGGAGCGATTCGGAAGTCTGTGCCGGTTATGATGCATTCGGCCACAAATCCGAGGCGCATGGCATCATGCAAATGGGAACCATGAACCCAATGCAAAACTACCAGATGCAGGCACTCCTGCGCCCTGGCCACTGGGCTCAGGATGGGCGTGTCGGATACGAGACGGGTTTGATGCAACTACGTGTCCATGATCTTTGTCTTTGTGAGGTGACACCGTGGTGGACGTGGGTGCCAATCTAGGAGCGCGACCTCGAGAAATCATTGTGCCAAGATGTTTGCTGGGTCCAAAGCCTCCCCCAGCAAATCAGCCCTTGGCGTGAGGATCCTACACAATCCCTTTCGGCGAGAGAGTGGGGCGTGAGGGAAAGGTCTTGGCTTTCGAGCCATTTCGTGTCTTCGGCAGCAGAGAAAAACTGACCCTGACCTCGGTTCACAATGTCACGTAACACTCTCCTGCCCTGAGGCTGGCTATACCAGCTCGTGACGGCGAACGTCGCTCTGCCGCTCGATTTAGCTTTCGGAGGGTGTGAAAAATCTCTCTCTCTCTCTCTCTCTCTCTCTCTGTGCTGCCTTTGCTCAGGAACGGACTGTCCAATGCCAGGGCCTGACATTGGTGCAGGAAAAACAGCGTTTTTCTTTTGCTTTCTGTCCTTGGCCTTGTCACAGCCAGGTCTGGACTTTCAATGTGGCTCTCGGGGAACGCAAGCAAAGGTTTTATGGTCGCCCACCGCAGCTTCGATTTTTCAGCAGTCCTGGTGGTGCCAAGGCGGGAACCTCAGTAGAGGCTTTCTGTTCAGATCCGAGCAACCCACGTGCCGTCAAGGGCTTCAACGTGCGGCGTCCTTTTGCATTTGGCTCGGTCATGCAGGTGAACTACGCTGAGCAGGATGGGGCGCCAGGCGCGCAGGAGAGCAACCTGCCGGCAATTATTGTTCGAGTGGCGAGCTTTGGCTTTGAGATACCCATGGTTTCAGTCAGGCCATTCGCGCTTTTGTGTATGCATGGAATGGATGTGACATAGTACGGACGAGCAGCATTTGGAAGCAGCCATAGGCCTCAGCTTGCGACGTAACGAAGTTGCAAATCCAATCCCGGCTTCCTTACCCGCACAACCTGCACAAGGCATAGGTCGAGGGTAGGCCTATGGGCGGGCTAAGGGTATGGTGACTGTGCAATGCGTTCCTGAGGCTGGGCATAAGAATTAGGCGCCCAGAACTGCAGTTTCCTGTTTCCTGAAGGTCGCAAGAGAATGGAATCGAAATCGCAATCCGAGGGGTAGGGTAGGGGAGGCCTAGGCGGCGGGAGGCCCAGTATATTGGGTTTGGGGCGAAACTTACGCAAGGCACACGCACAGAAGCAGCTCTTTGGTCCAGAGATACGATTCTCCCGCAGGGTGGGAGAGATTCTCCTAGTGCAAGTGAACACATGCAACAGGATCTTTTCGTTTCGGGAGCATTGTCTGCACAGAGCATGCTCTCTGGCAGGATGGCAAAGAAGCGTTGGCAAGTCAAACGCCTGGGAAAATAGTTCAAATCTCATGTTCTACTACATACTCGCTCCTTTTGCATTTTACAAGGGAAATACATTTAATTTGAGCGGCACATTGGGTGGGACTTTTTCACGCGGGGAGCACTGTCTTGCACAGAGCATGTTCTATGGCAGGTGGGTGCAGTGCGTTTGCTCAGCCCAAGGAAACGCATGTTAAAGGATCTTTTCCCTGGGTGCGGTCTGGGCGTCTCGAATCGTCGGGACTTCGCACGTAGGGAGGCTGCGAGACGAAGTTGCATAGCGTCTGACCCCAAGACCCAAGTAGAGTTGGCAGAAGCACGTGGACATTGCCAAGCCCAAGAATCACTCCTCCTCTCCGCCTCATCTTCAGCGGAGCTAGAAGAAATACAGTAGATCACAAAAAGACTCCAGTCTCCAGTCCATGCTTAGGTCCACCTCCCGACCCCTTGCCGGCCTCCAGCCCGATTGAGTTTGCCCCCACGCCATCCCGTCTTTGTTCTTTCTGCTGCCATTCGTCTGCTGATTCTCCAGAGAGAGAGGGCCTTTGTCTGCGGGCAAGACCTCGTCCACTACATCGAAGTTCGCAGGTTACCGGACGTTGTGGGCTGTGACACCAGCTGAGGCATGCACATCAACCAAGCCGTGCAACTGTGGCTTGGCACAAGATACTGCGCCGTCGAATCAAGGATCAGTTCTCGATCAGCTCCTTAGTCAAGAAGTGCCTGAGGTACGACTTCGAGACTGATCCGGAAGAGAACCTCCGGCTGCAGCCAATGCTAGGGCTTCTAGGAAACCGTAGCAGCATGTGACAGCACTGCCGATTTCCTGCCGAAAGTCCGGCTGCTGCTGGGATCAGGCGGTCTTGCGACTCAGGACTTTAATGCTCGCCCTGGACGAGGTGCTCTCCGGTCAAACAGACCTGAAGCCACCCGTTGTGCAGAGCATCAGGCCCATTGCAATTTCCCTGCTTAGCTTTCTTCCGTTAAGCTAAGGGTTCGTGCGGTTCCAAAGTGCAGGCTTATCAAGATCGATGTTGAGGGCATGGAAACGAATGTGGTGCTTGGCGCCATGAATGCCATCTATCAGCCCCTCGACGTTCAACACACGTGAACATGTTGCACCTTCAAGCCGGAGAGATGATGTCGGCGAGGTTTAAGCCCATCATCTGGAGCGAGAACGATGACTATTTTGACAGGCTCGGTAACGCATTCCGCTTTCTGCCAAAAGCCAGAGTCGCTGTTCTTGTAGGAGTGATACGAAATTCCTGGCCATCATGGAGCAGTTGGAATACCAATGTGCAAAGGCTAGGAATTCCAGTGTCACCAGTTCCATCTCCGCTAGACAATGGGAGCGTATGACTCGTACCAGGTGGAGACAGCTCCGAAAGATCTTATGTGCACGGACAAGTATGGACGTGGTCACCAGTTTCAGTGATGCTCGCGCACCTGCTGGCGTCATGAGCAGATCGCTCTGCGTTGGTGCCAGCAGCAAGAGACTGCCTTTGGTCGCCAGCACGGCAAAAAGCAAATAAAGCGAAGAATGCGAGTTGTTGGGGAGTTCTTGACTGCCCGTTTTTGCAGTGAGCGGCTTCCGGAGTCTGCACGCTGGTCCGTATCCTACGTGGAGGCCTCAAAGCTGACGCCTCGGAAATTCGGAAGCCGCCGCGGGTCGGAGAAGAGGAGCGCTTCTTTTGCTGCCGAGGGCACAGGTGAGGCGGCGGCAAGAAGAGGAGAAGACCGCGAGGCGCGCCTTTCTGCTAACAGCAAAGGCGGGCTTCATGGTGACTACAGTAAGCATGGGCGCAACTCCGGTTCGGTTATGTGGGCACGGGGCTCTACATCCCGTCGAAATCTCATCACAACCAGGCGTGTCTAGCATTGCATTGCCCTCAGAGCGTTCTGGTTCTGCCCACTATCTTCGGTAGAGATCGACATTGCCGGAAGTGTCGGCGAAACCTCACTGACCCACGGCCTGCAAGGTGGAATGCCGGGAATCATGACAGCACCGAGTTCTTTAGGCTGGCCCGCACAATGCAGATGTTCTGGAAATACGCGTCCACTTCACAGACCCGTTGCCGCGAGGAAGATGGGACAGACGATGGCGGACACCGAGAGGTTCAAGGCGACCTGTGCCGCCCTCGTCCCGTTGCGGAGGAAGCATCTTTGCAGTTCCTCGGTACTTGCCAAGACCCCGCTGGCCCATCAGCATCACGGCTTCGCATCATCATCATCATCATCATCATCATCGTCTTCGTCATCGTCATCATCATTATCAACAACATCGGAATCATCACCATCATCACCATCACCATCATCATCATCATCACCATCACCATCATCACCACACCAGCACCATCACCATCACCGTCACCATCATCACCACACCAGCACCAGCACGGGCACGGGCACCGGCACCGGCACCGGCACCGGCAGCAGCAGCGGCAGCGGCAGCGGCAGCGGCACCCACCAGCACCACCAGCACCACCAGCACCACCAGCACCACCAGCACCACCAGCACCACCAGCACCACCAGCACCGCCAGCACCGCCAGCACCGCCAGCCCCACCAGCCCCATCAGCCCCACCAGCACCACCAGCAGCACCAGCAGCAGCAGCAGCAGCAGCAGCAGCAGCAGCACCAGCAGCAGCACCAGCAGCAGCACCAGCAGCAGCACCAGCAGCAGCACCACCCAGCAAGCAGCAGCAGCAGCACAGCAGCAGCACCAGCAGCATCAGCAGCAGCACCAGCAGCAGCACCAGCACCAGCACCACACCAGCACCACCACCACCACCACACCCACCACCACCAGCACCACCAGCACCACCAGCACCACCAGCACCACCAGCACCACCACACCACCAGCACCACCAGCCACCACACCACCACCACCACCACCCACCACCACACCACCACCACCACCACCACCACCACCACCACCACCACCACCACCACCACCACCACCACCACCACCACCACCACCACCACCACCACCACCACTGGTATCATCATTAGCACCGTCAGCACCACCACCACGATCACGAGCATCAGCGTCAAACAGATCAAACAGCATCAATCAGCATCATCTGCATCATCAGCATTACCAGCATGATCAGCATTATCAACAATATCACCTGCATCTTCCTTTTACAGGTTGGGGCCTGGACGTTGTTCCCAGGTCGCAGCGCCACCCTGGCATCCCCATCGAGACAGAATGAGGAGAAGGTGAGCCTGGAGTTCGCGGGCAGGCTCGCTCACTCGCTCCCAGAAGCTTTGCCTGGCCCATGCAGACAGCAGATGCATGCTTGTACTGAACAATGAACAAGGCGCAGTACCCGAGCAGCCGAGAACAGCTTGTTGGCATTCCGCAGCCATCCAGTCCAACAGCCCCAGGAGAGCTCACAGGATCTATCATGCAGGTAAAGCCCGAGAAGTCCGACTCCAGCAGTGACGAGGGTGGCATAGCAAGTACATTGAAGACCACGGCCAGAACTTGTTGTTTCTGGTTGAAGCTGTTTCCACCAGTGAAGTGGATACTCAACTTCTTCAAGTGGCTTTTCCTCTCCCGCCAGGAATATGCCGTGCTGAAGAAGGCCAGAGAGCTCTTCAAGACTGTGAATGTTGACAATGGTTGTTGCACTGACTGTCCATACAAGCAGTTGTCGAAGATGGAGAGAATGTACCTGCACCGCATCTTGAAAGACACTTCTCGTTGGGGAAGCGAGAGAAAGTTTATCCAGACCTTCCAGTCCCAGGTGATTGCCATGCAGAAGGAGGACAGTGACGCAGGAGAAGCCATCACTGAAGGGGAGTTCTGCAACGCTGTGTTGTATGCCGTGCAAGAGTACATGGAGAAGATCGTCAACAAGATGAACTCAGAGATCAAAAAAGAATACAAGAAAGACGAGAAACTGGCGGAGGCTCCATGATCAGGGGCGATGAGCCACTAGCAGGGCAAGGGATCGGAGATGCAAAACTGCAAAAAGGTCCGGGTGAAGCCCTGAAGAGGAATGTTTGAATAGCGCAGATGGGAATCCTGAATGGAGTTCCAATGATGCATCATCACGGTGACGAGGCTGTGCCAATGCTGCCAATGGCCGACCACCGACGGTTTCATGCCACGATGTGCGAGCCGCGAATTGCGGAAGCTTCGACATCGAGCCTTAAAAAGTCACTGTCGCGAGCGATCGGTTCGACCGTTGAGGATGTAAGTGTCAGTCACCGTTATATCGCCATGCTTCTGGCGAGGTATATCGACATCGCGAAGGCTGGGATAAGTTGTCATGCCAAATTATGCGGGGAGAGTTGCAACAAAGACTAGGCGTGGGTAAATTTGAAGGTGCACATGCTTGACTGCAGGCCCTCGCTGACTTTAGCAATACCTGCATCAGTGACGACACGGAAAGAGGGCTCAAGACCATCAATGCAAACGGCTGGGGCACTCAGCCGCCGTGTGTCTTGTCGTGCGTGTCTCATAGTAGGCAGGAAGACAGTCTGAGGCGACGCGTCGGGTTTGCCTTCCCGCTTAAGTTTTGTGGAACTGGGAGAATGAGATTTCCATCATGTTTCATGTTTTGAGTATTTCACATGACCGGTGAGGACACTTTCAAGGACTAGCAGAACAACCATCCGAGAGTGTGCATTGCGATAGATTTCTCGAGGCAGATGTTCTTTGGAGGGACTGTTTTCATGGGTTTCCTACATGCCGGATGTGGTGCATAGCGCCGCGTGAGTCAGCCTGGAGTTTCTTGGAAAGTCTTTGTTGCCTCTTGCATGTCAATGGCCTATTGTAGAGCTGAACTTGTCCGTAGGTAGTGAATTGCATGTCAGAAGATTGGCTCTCACTAATAAACTCGATCTTGTTCTAACTGTCGTGCGAGATGGCCAAGCCGACGAAGCAGGACAGATTCGAAGGAACACCGAACAACCGGTCAGAAGGTGGTGAGCCAGTGGGTTAGTCTGTCAGTCGCTGAGTCTCTCGTTCATTCGGTCGGTCGGTCGGTCGATTAGAGAGTCGGTCAGTGAGTCTGCCTCTCCGTGAGCGCATGCCTGAAGTTGTGTGTGACATGCGAGGCACGGTGGATGCGCCTGCAGGCCTGATGCACCTGAAGGCCTGAGCCGAGAGCGTGTCGAGCTGGAGTGGAAATGCAACCATCGCGAAAGTGCGTCAGGACCCCGCGGCGCAAGAACAACGGCGCCAAGCCGAGACGGCCCGTCCCGAGCATGCAAGCTTCAGTGGAGTGCAGACCCCGACCCGAGCACCCCGTTTCAAACACTGACCCGCCATTGAAGCACCAGCTTAATCTAGCATCTAGCACTGGACCACTCGACGTGTCAGGTAGTTTAGGGTCAAGCTTAAATGTCGGAGTGAGGGTTTGAGGAGGGCCGATTGTGGCCCTTAAGGATTTGGGGTTAAGGGCTTTCGGGTTTCAGGGTCCCATCAAGTTTGGGGTTCCAAGGTTTTGGGATTTAGGGCTTTCGGACTTTAGGATTCCTGGTTGCTCGGACATTCGGTCGGTATCCCGACAGCAGGTCTGGTGCGGGCAACCCACCAAGACCCACCAATCCCCAAAACAGCTGTCAACCTGGATTCGTCCGAGGTGTGTATATTGAATAATCTATCTATCTATCTATATATATATATATATATGATGTACATGGGTCATGGTTGATGCATGAGGGCATGGAAGCTAGTGCGCCGAAGCCTGAGGCCGTGTGGTTTTGGGTCTCTGGGGCTGTACAAGGTATTGTAAGACATGTGCCCAAACCACTCCCACACCTGCTGTAAGCAGATGTGTGCGCCAAACTGCGTGATTGGTGAGGGAACGGTGCTTGATTCCGCCCAATTGCGGTGCTTTCTTTGAGTGCGGCGTCTCCGGTGCTTGAATGATCCTAGCCCCATGCGCATCCATGCGCCAATCATCTGTGCGCCGCGCGCAAATCTGCCGCTGCACAGCAAGAATCCCGGATTTTCAAATCCCCAGTCCCCAGTGCGCGAATCGTTCCGGCGTCCTGCGGCAGTCCTTGCTCTGCTCCAGGAGGCCGCCACGAAGGTTCAAGCCATGGAGAGAGGTCGCAAGGCACGAAAGCAGGCAGCTTTGGGCACAGAGCATCGATGGGCATCTTTTGTAAGACACGAGGACTGAAGTGCAGCATACGAGTGCACACGTGAGAGGCCAAAGAGGAGCGAGAGACAGTCGAGGAGGTCCGGCTAGTGGCAAGTATGACGAGATTGTAGCAGTTATAAACAGGTGCAGCTCAAGGAGTTTTCGTAGCCACCTTTCACAGGAGGAACCGAGCCAAGAGAGTGCGCCTGCACCTGGCTCCTCCTCATCTCTTCCGAACGAGGTCCAGTCAATCCGAGACCTCGTGCTGTGCCGCTTGGTGTCTCGGCGTTGATTTTCCTCGTGGCAGGGCTCGCAAGAGGTTGAGCCGCCTCCCGCGCCTCCTCCGCCTCCGCCTCCAGCCGGCGAGGCAGGCATGGTCTGCCCTTTGCGTGTCTGTCGGCTTGCGCTCGGAGGAAGAGGAGAGGAGATCTGCGTCGGACAACGAAAACGATGACGCCTTCGGAGAGATTGAGGTGCCGAGGGATCTTTTTGCCACTGCTTCGAGAGAACATGCGAGTTCGACAGGAGGAGTTCTCTCCGAAGACCGACATCGTGGGCCCCATCATCAGCATAGTTGGTGCCCCCGCCACGAACACCAGTGCTCCGATGCCTGGCCCCATTTAGTCTGGAATTTCATCTTGAGATGCCTCAGTATCTTGATCTAGCATCCTGCAGCACTGGGGTCGAGGGCTGTGCACTGCAGGAACTCGCGAAAGAACTCTAGACGTTCCTCCGAGGCGAACACTGACAGTGTTCTGAGGCTTCGATACTCTCTGCAGACCTTCGCTTCCTGCGAGGAGAGCGACAGCGGTGGCGAGTCCGAGGCATCCGAGAATCCGGACGACGAGTGCGCTCCCTCCGCCCTCGGACCGGCAAGACTTGAGCCATGTTCACTACGTGATGATCCAAGCGTGCCGCCATCTTGCCTCCACAGCTTCCGGAACTGCAAGAACTCGCAAGCAATGCCCACAGTAGTCGGAGACTTCATGCCCCGGACAGATGAAGATTTGCTAAGACATTACTGACTCCGTCTCCAACTGTCCTTGAAGGATATATTTTCAACCTGCAAGGGTGTAGGTAGGTAGATAGCTTGCTTGCTCCATGGCGACAGTCGCCGCGCTCTTGGAGGAAGCTTTGCGTGCCGTATCTGACTGCCTCACATCCGAGGCCAAAGATCAGACACTGGAGCTCGGTGCTTACTTCATGAGCTGCGTTGGGGAGCAGTTTCGTGCGAAATCGGCTCAGGAGGCTTCTCTCCACCAGCCGCTCGTCGTACAATGAGCAGGCGGAAGTCATTGGCACACTGTTGGAGACCGTTTGGTGGGTACCGGCCTTAGCCGTGCAGACTGGAGGTCCCAAGTCTTCAGATCTCCACTCTCAGAGCATTGGGCATAGAGGAGCACAAAGAGCAAAGGAGGCTACGCTACGTGGAAAACCTTTGGTGGAAACCATGGAGTGTAGAGCGAAGGGAAATCACTCGTTTGCAGCTTCGAGGTCAAAGTGGAGTTTGAATTACAGGCTCAACGCCTAAGCCAGATGGAGGAGCGGTCTTTGCTGATGGTATCCAGTCACTGTTCGACTGTGTCGTCCACAGTCGGAGAACAGCAGGAAAAAGCCGTGCCCACGCGTGGTCTGGTGCGTGTTAAATACAACTGCGCACGGCAAGTGCGACATACGGGATACGGAGTGAGTCATTTGCAGGAGACCTTGGAGAGACAGGCCACCGGCAAAGAATGGAACGGTCAGTTCTGCAGATATAGATATACTCTTCCACGGTGTTTTGGTGATCAGAGCACGCAGGTGAGTGGACGATGCTGCTTGCAAAAGTGTGGGCAGAGTTGCGCCCTCTCCAACTGAGCATGCAGGCTGCCCGCATCGCCACCCTGGAAGCACGGGAGCCCTTGGCCGTCCGGGCCTGGAAGGAAGTGGTTGGTTTTGCATGTTGGGTCTTACGGTTGGAGGCGTCCCCCAAGAAGCCTTCTCCGTCTCCCGTGACTCCCGTGGCCGCGGCCGAAACAGCGTCCTCCAGCAAGGCCTGGCTTTTGGGAAGCGGAGGCGGAAGTCTTCTGCGTGTCGCAAGCACCGCCGGGCCGTCGGAGGCCGTCGATCTCCTGGGCCTGGACCCCTTCGAGCGTGCAAGCGAGCCGCAAGCCACTGCTCGCAAGGACCGGTCATGTATTCATAGTTATGGTGCAGGACATGAGCATCAGCATGAGCACGATATCCCTTTGAGGACTGGGCCGATGTCGAGGATGATGACGACGAAGAGGCAATGTGTTGAGTTGCAGCAAACCTTCAGCTTCAGAGTCTTCTGGGGAGTTCTGTCAGCTTTCAGGCTGACATGCCTGTCGAGAAGGCCTCCCGGAGTGAGTCTGAGCCGAAGTGGAAGAAGGAAAAGCTGCTGTGTAGAGCCGGAAAGGTTGAGGAAGGCCAAGGCCCCATGGATGGGTCCAGGCCCTGGCTCGCAGGTTTACAAGGGTTCAAAAGGGTTCGCAAGTTGGCCCAGACTGGCTCGGGGACGTCGCTGAGGCATGAGGACCCCTGGCTGGAGGCGGCAGCAATGACCAAGTTGGATCCTCAGAACCGAAGCAGGGCAGCAGGCCAGCAGGCCAGGGGACCACGGGGACCAGGGGGACCAGGGGGGGGGGCCGGTACCAAAGTGCTCCAAGCCTCAGGCGTGGCACGAGCTTTTTGGATGCTTGGACCTCAGACTGCGTGGAGTGCTGAGCGTGATGCTGTTTCGAACGGATGCTGAGAAGCCCGCAGCTGCGGCGCCTGCAGCACCACGGGTCACAGCCAAGAAGGTCCCTCCGGCGTGCGGTACAGTGATGTGCAGTGAATTCTCGGCTTCGAGAGCCTTCGGGAGGCAGCGCCACCCCAATCCCAGCCGTCAAGCTGCCCTGGTTGCCGGTTGCTTTGGGGTTGCTGGTAGGTGGGTTCATGCATGCAATGGCCCAAGTCCGCCAGGGCGAGACCTGGCTTACTGGAGCCAGAACCTGAGCTCAAGGCGGAGGCGGAGGTTGGCTTCTTTCACCTCCAACCGGCAGGTGCACGGACTCCTCGGTTGCCTCGGTTGCCCCTGCGCCGGGGCCCAACATGGCTCAGAGCAGAGTTTAGACTTGTCTCAACCTTGCCAACGAGGCCGGCGCCGAGGTCCGGCACTTGGTCGTAAACTAGGCAGACCAGCCTGAGACATGGAAATCAACATGTACTCAAAACTCCAGCTTAGAAGAGAGAAATAACTTGGGCCGATTGAAAAGATCACCGGGGACGGTGAGGACCGGTGAGGAGTCGAAACAAAGGTCCCCAAATGGCTGATTAGAGGTGGTAATCCGCGAATCACGGCTTTCACACCGAGGCCCAAAGCACGCTCCAAACCGGAGGTCAGCGAAGAGCTCATGGCCAAGCTCATGCAGGCTTGGCAACCGATGCGAGTCGCAGAGCTCTACAACGGAGTCTTAGAATCCATTCCGACAGGCCGTCCACTCGAAGAAACTGATGGAGCCAGCCGAAGGCTACCAGCCAAACTGCTTCGGAAGACCGGCTGGATCTGCTGGAAATGCGTGTCAGGTCTGCCTCAGCCTAGCAACGGTACGACCAACGGAAATTCTCCACCCGTGACTCCGGTGCCCAAGAAGGCGCAGCATGATTCAGCGTTAAGACAAATCATGAGCCGCTTCAAGATGTCACAAGCGCAGGGCGGCACTCATGTTCAGGCTCCTCCTGCGGCCCTCCAGGCTGCAAGCAAGGCCTCTTTACGAAAGTCTGGCATTTACTCTGCTTGAACAACCCGCGGAGGTCGTGCCAGCAACAAAGTCGCTGCCAGCTGCGAAGCAATCTTGGCATGATATTTGACGCTGACAGATGTGCAGAGCACCTCAGAAGCCAAGTGCCAGGCCAAAACCGAAGGCCAAAGCCGCGGGACATGGGGACAGCATGGGGACAGCGATGAGATATGTGTCTTGTGGAAGAGCACTGTCAGGGCGCACCCCCCATTCTGAGAGAGAAGCTCCTCGAGCAGAACACAAGCTGAGCGCACGGCGCGGAGTGGAGTGGGAATCATCGGAGTCAGTTTAATCGAGGTTCATGCTTCGCAGCGCCACCATTCTACTACTGGTAGACATGATCTCGCCGAATGCCTGTGTGGCATGGCGGAGTACCAACTTGCACTTATGTTCCTCGCATGTCTGTGCGTGCGAGAGCCCGAATCTCGCCGTGGTAGATCGCGTATAGCAGCCCTTCAGGGCAGGCCGGCGCATATAGCCGCCCTTCAGGGCAGGCCGGTAGAGCTAACTGAGCTTTGACTTATTTGTGCTTGCCAGCAACTGCTGCGGAGGCATGCCGTTGCTTGAAGCAGGCTTGCACATTTCAGAGTTTCAGGATGGCTTTTCTCGTGGTGTGACCACTGCGCTATGGCTGCGCTCCAAACACTGCCCGACTGACGTGGTGCTGCCAGTGACGCGTCCCCAGGAGATCTGACGAAGTTTTCGTGTCTTCGCAGGTGGCCGCCGAAGCCTCCCATTGTGCGTTTCCGGGCGCAGTGCGAGCCCGGTCCTTGAATCGAAAGTTTCCAGCCGTCCTCTCCGCCTTGGGCAGTTGGGCAGGTTCTCCAACCAGTTCAAGGCCAGTGCTCCCTTGCTTCCTCCTGTCATCCTTCATGCATCTCTGTACATGTTTGGAGAACTTACTGCTCTTCGTGTCAGTCTGCGGAAGTGAAAGAAGAGCGGCGCCGCTCCATCCAGCAGGCATGCGCCGGATCTATCTTGCACCCAGATGTGCCCTTCACGGGTCCCCCAAATCGTTTTCTTGACGGGTCCTGTTGCCCTAACAGCTCGGCCCCAACTGGAAGGCTCAGGAAAGGAAGCAGATCAAAATAGATGCCAAGGAGGTCATCCAGGCCCAGCTTTCACAGCTATCCCGATCACCGTCTCGAGCATCCCCGACTGCAGGACATGACGCTGACCTGGATTAACATGTATTTCAAGCTTGATGTCGTGTCCCCACGTGACCTTACAGCAAGGATCTCAGGGCTTGTTCGGAATGGAGAAGTGCCTGACTCCAAAAGAACTGACGACAACACTTCATCTGTGCACGCAGAAGCCTTGAAGGCGGGCTTCTCTATCATCATTCTGACGATGATGGATGTCATCTATCCAAAGAAAGTCCGATGGCACCAGGCCGGTGTCACAAGCAGGAACGGTGGAACGTTGCTCTGTTTCGTCTGAATTCGTCTGATTGCTGTGAGGTGGATTGGAACGTGGCGTACATGCGGGTGGGGCATCCCGAAGAGTTTTGGCAAGTCAGACCTCCCTGACCGCTGAGGCTCTGGCACACAATCACAGGGTGCTGGAGAAGCACTGGAACGAGGTCCGTACAGCCTTCACCGAAGCGACAGAGAAAGAGTGCATCTTTGACTGTAATTCGAAGCACGAAGCGGCGCGGCGCGACAAGCACAGTCTTTGCTGCAGTTTTGTCAGGCATCCTTTCTAACACCATCATGTACGGTCTTTTCCAGACTGATTGTTCCGTAGGTCAACATGGACAAGGTCAAGGAGCTGCTGCTTGAAGCTTTCAGACGCACTCGTGGTCGGAGTCCCGTATATGCTGTTTAACAGGATCTTCGACGAGATCGCATTGGAATGTCCATCGAGAACACCTTAGACGCCTCTATAGAGGATGCCCGAGCTGGCTCGATTGAGAAGGGAAGAGCTGACAGCAAAGCATTGATGCAACAGCGTTGCACTGATGCGCTTGCCAGAAGCTGCATTTCCTGAAGCAAGTGAAGCGCTGGTTCGATTGCCGGCGTGCAGCTTAGATGTCACCGCATCTATTCAGTTGCATTATTGGCTTCTTGAAGCATTGCACTGTGCCAGGGTCCAGCACTCTGCCGCCTACGACCCTATCAAGCGGCGCACCGAGGTGGAGAAACAGCCGAAGCCTCGTGTCTGCTGCAATCGACTTTTTGCACCGTGGGCCGCATGCCAAGGATCCGACTCACGGGCCGCTTGATGAAGTTTCCCACCTGGATGCAGTACGACAAGGAGGCGCGCGAGTGCGTGACCTGTGGGAAAAGTGTCCCCCTTGCTGGCCAGCGGACTATGAAATCGTTCCTGAGGAAGTCCAAGCCAGCCGTGCGACCAAGCCCGACAAGAACAAGAGAAGGCCCCGACACTCATATTCAATCTCGTCGTTTCATCTCGCAGCTTTTCCGCCAGAACGGTTGGCTGACTCTGTCCCACGGACGGCCAGGTCGGAACAGACAGAGCCAACTACTGAGTACGAGAAGATGCCAGAGCTCCAGCCTCAGAGAAGTGCCAGCGTGTTCAAAGAGAACTCTGGGCGTTTTCGTCCCTGCAACGGTGCCGCTCTTAACGGGAACCTATCAGGTTCAAGCGCCTTCTGTGGTTCCTCGGATCCGAGCATCAGACAATGTGCCTTCGCTGCAGCATAGAGAAAGAAGGCGTCGGACCCGATTCAATGGATGTCGAAAGTGATTGCACTTGCATTCTGAGGTGAAATTGGCGAAGCTTTTTCCGTTTCACACCCTTCTCGCTCTCGCTCTCTGCTCCGGCGGACGGGCCTTCGGTGAAGAGCGCCGAAGGCACTGCGGAAGTGAGATGGAGAAAAGCGGAGAACCGGCGGGGGAGAGAGCGAATCCCGGAAGATCTAGGACCTAGAATTCCGAGAGAGTAAGCTTGGGTATGTTGCTTGATGAGAGATTGCAAGCCTTGAGTGGGAGCCAGAGCTGGGGAGCTTGGCCGCTGCCTTGTCGGCTTCAGCGGGGGTTGCACCTGCGATGCCCAATCTTCCATCCGATGACAGAGAGAGGCTTGCAGCTTTCGTCCTGCAGTTGCATGCCTTGTGGCATTTTCGCTAGCCCAACTGTTGCATGTAGCAGCGAAGGGGCGTTGCTCACATCTGAAGTGTCCGGCGAGGCATGTTTCTGGATTCGCGGCGAGTTATGATTCACCCGGCGGAGGAAGCGAAAGCAGCAGAGCGGTTCTCGAGCGAACTGATCACACTGAAGCATCTCTTCTTCGAGGAGAAAGATGAAGAGTGCCTGCTTGCCTCGCCAGAGCAATGCTCAGATGCGATTTTTTCCCGAAAGGCCCGTGCTAGCTCGCTATCCGCTAGCTCCTTCAAAAAGAGGAGGAGAGAGCAAAGCATCCTTCGCTGATATTTTTTTGGCAGGTGGAGGCGGAGGCCAAGGCGTGCTGGACTCGGAGGCCTGCGGCGGCAGCGGTCGCGGGGGCCTTAGAACCCTCTCTCGCGCTCTCGGGCTTGGCTTGTTGCCGCAATCCACGGCCCACGGCGTTACGGGAACGCCCTGAGGCCTCCTTCCTTCTGAGTGCCCGGGCTGAGACGAGAGTCATCTATAGGAGCCCTTCAGGAGGCTTTGCCAAGGCAGAGAGAGGCTCGGCGGACCCTGAGGTGTCGGAGTCTTGACCGGCGTTGGCGTTGGATTCCATCTGCGAGGGCAGCATCGCAGCCTTCGAGAGCCTGCTTATGAAAGCTGGCAGCACTCAGTGAAGAGGCGATGCCTCCACGCTTGCCCCTCTGCGCATACCCTCATAGAGTTCTGAGGAGAGTCTCTACAAGTTTGGCCAAGCAGCTGACCTAGCCCACTACGAGAAGGCGATCGAAGGCGTCTGCTCAAAGAGTGCCCAGCATGACCATAGTCAGGCGGGGGCTGTGTGGCTGTGTGTCTATTTCGCAAAGACCTGGCATGTTCTAGCTTGATTTCAAATTTCAACCGTTCTCTGCTGTCTTGTCACCAGGCGATGCCCATCACGAAACCGATGGTTATTCCGCGTGCAAATCTCTGCACAAGCACTGCGGCTGAAATCTCAGTATTGAGCAACAAGGCAGTCAGGCGAAGAATTCTCCAAGCATACTATTCAGGGGTCCTGAATCTGTGTTCAGCCGAGAGCCGCCTCGGGAGCGGGAGAAGTGGTGCTCTTGGGCTTCTGTGTAGTCGACAAGCTCCTGGGAGAATTCTCGCGCATGCGTCCGCGTTCCTTCTCCACGTCGCTCAGGCAAGTTGCTGTCCACTGACTTTCCCTGCGGCTTCACCAGAAATTGGTCCTGCCCGTCCTTTCCGCCAGCTGTGAAGGCCGGCCTGCAAAGACTTTTTGCAGTCTGGACCCGCATCGAATGACTGTGCTCATTACCGTGCACCTGGTGTGGGAGACTCCTGCAATCTTGAAGGCCACTGCAAACGGCATTGCGGCAAACGACGGTTCTCTTGGTTACCACTGTTGCTGTGAGATCGAGCGACTCAGGACTGGGCCTCGGATTGCAGAAAAACTGTATGGAACATGGGAGCTGCTTGCTGCATCTGTCAGGTCTGTGACTTGGTCCAGACATCCTTTCGAGGATGACGCAGACTCGATGCCGGAGCCGCAGAAAGTGCGGATAAAGGCCGGGAGAGCCAATGGCGCGGGAGGGAGGGACTTCAAACGACATTTCAGAGCGACGTTGGTTTTGCCCGGCATGAGTCAAGCCTGCGGTTGTGTCTCCCTGAGGTCGTCACCTACAACATCTTTTGGTGGAACCTCTTCGGCATTCATAAGGGCAACGGTGGAACTGCTGGAGGTGTCGTGGCGACATCAAACGTGTGTCCTGGCAAGAAGAAGAAGACTGCACCTTCACGTGGGCCGCAGGACTTGTGGTTCGTTTCAGCTTGAAGCGGTGAGAAAAAGAGTAGCTGGATAGCTTCATGCCCACGAACAGATCTCCAACTTCCTCACGGAACAAAGGCCACATAGCCTGTAGCCTCTTGCCCAGTTCCGCTGCAAGAGCCGAGGCGGGAGCCCATCGACTTGATTGCCTTTCAAGAGTGTCGTGGCTGGGCGGCCGATAAAAATACGGTGAGTGTGGGAGGAACATGGGAGCCTCAGCAACGGGCCGGGCCTTTGCCTAAGGAGACAAAGACCGTGTGCTGGACGACGCTGGCCTCTTGAACAGTCCATCGGCAGAAGATAGCTCATCGGGGCCATAAAGCAGGAGCTATTGGATTTTCTAGCTGGGCTCTGACTAAGCTAGTAAATGGTAAACCTTCAAGTCGACGACACTGCTGAGAACTGCTAACTTGGTGTGCAGGCTTCCATACCTTTGCCGGAATGTACGAGAAATGCATTGCTCTCAACAAGGCACCGATCTGCCTGAGAGTAGGAGCATGCAGCGCCATGCAGCGCCGATGTGTCATAAGTTCTTGTTTCGACAGCCTCCGCGTGCGTCTGTGCTTCGCACGGTGCAAGTTGTGTGTTCTGCATCCTTCACTTACTGAGGAGGCATGGATTTGGCTGGAGGAGGGCGAGGAGGACGTCGTGACCTGGAGCGCAATGGTTTCAATTATATAGCCCTTCTTCCAAACCATGGCCAACAGAGAATTCGGCAGAGAGGTTCAATCGCGACGGGAAACCTATCTAGATCTGAACAGCCACCGCAAGGCGCACAGAGAAGTCAAGCACAGCGAAGCCAAACTTGTTTGAGATGGGGCCTGTCTGGAGTAGTGCGAGCGGTTCTATGAAAAACCATGCAGTGTAAAGTCATGTAAAGCCACTGCCATGTGGCAGGAGCTTTGTGGACATACGACAGGTTAATCACTTGCGACGAAACTATTTATTAGTTCGGTCGACAGCCGTGCGGTCAAGTCATATGCTTCATCCGTCAAGCGACAGCCGCTTTATCGGGCTGTCCGTCACATGCAGTTATAGCATCTAGTACCAGGAGTGGCTCTGACCACGAACGACTGGCACATGTCTTGTGCCCGTCCATGCACAGTCAGTCTTTGGTTCTGTCTCTGTATGCCGGTGACTCGTTGCACCAGAGTCCCTACATGCAACGAGTTTGCTCATTTGTGTGCCTTCGAGGCGGCAGATGTCTACTGGTGCCTTGGTTGACTTGGTCGTGTTTTGCTCGCTTCGTTCGAGGCCAGCCTCGACTGTGTTTCAAAGCAGCATTTTCGTGTTTGCTCTGCCAAGGAACAATTTCGGACCCCGCGGAGTGATTTGGGCTCGGGTGATGCACAGAGCAAGTGGTCTCCGTGCACCTTGGCGGGCTTAGCGTACAGCTCAGGATTCGCTGCCGTGTCGGTTTGCTGGTGAACTGATTCCTTCGCAAGAACAGTCATTCTTGCTTTCAACCCTGTTCAACCTGCCATGTCGACACGGTCGGGTTTTCGGCACTTGGGTTTCATGTGCGAACGCATTGCATGCGCTTGAAATCTCTCGAGTCTTGGCCTCTGAGCCCTAGGTATTCTTCGCCAACCATCACGGCCCTCTCGCTGTCAATTCGGGTGGCCAGTGTGGTGGCTTTCGGACGGCCAGAAACCTCTTGAGGTCCCTTTTGAAGCATTTGCCGCGGTCCAGTATGCCATTCTTTTGCAATGCGCTCTACACTCCCCACTCTGAAGGGTTATCCACGAGAAAAGCGAACCCGGTGGCCGACTCAGTGTACAGGGGAGTCGTATGCGCAGGTCTGGGATTGCATCCGGCCTCTCGGGATTTCCGTCCGAGCTCGCAGGTGACGTTGTTATCTTGGCAGGGGACTTCAACGCCAATCCTGCTTCACACACAATTCAGGACTGCTGCAGGTTCTGGTGGATCAGAGTGTCACTGTTTTCGACTTACGGGGCCCTCCCATTCATTCCACAACGATTTTCGGTGAATTCGTCCTTCTTGATAGAATCTCTATAAATAGTAGTTCCATGGGTCGAAACAGCTACTCTCCACTGACGTTCTGCCCTCTTGCTGGAACGACTCTGGCAAATGTGGGATGATAATGTTGTGTGTTGGTGCTGGGCTGACAATTCCAACGTGCGACACAGGGCGTTAGTTCAGCGTGCAGGTGTCGTTGTCGGGAGATACGGCCTAAAGAGGCGCTGCAAACCACAAGAGGCTTCTCGTTCTAGTTTGGCTTGTGTTGCAGCATCTCTCTTGTCGGTATGATGTGCCACAACGCTCATCCCTGCGATAGGGGGCTGGTGATTTGATGCTTGCTGTTCCTGATTTAGACGTTTACTTGGGATGTGCTTTGCTGGAAAGAGTCCGGTTCACAAGTTCTCCAAGCAAGAAAGGCCGAATGCACTGTTCGGGATACCTGACTTCGTCTGCTCGTGCCCTTTCACCAGGAGTTGCGCAAGAGCCTCATCCATGTCCACGCAGGCATGTTGGTCTGTCCTGCAAGAGTTTCGAGCTGGCAGTGTTTTTGTGAGCATGTTTCGGGCTGCGGTTCATGACCAGGCTCATGCACCTTGTCCTCAAAGCTCACTGTGACAGGCACCGTTCTCGGAGGAATCGACAACGTCTTCACGAACCTGAAGCCGCTCCACGGCTGCACTTCTTACGCTTCTCTCGGCTTGGGACGAGCTGTGACAAGTTAAAGACGAGGTCCACTGTGGTTGCAAGAGAAGACCTGGGTTCTGGGGGCAGCGATCATCACGCGCTGGCCACCATCTTCGAGGTCGATACACGAGGCAGCCTTGCTGGCAATGCTCCGCTACAGCTCTACTGGTGCATACAGCTTGTCCTGCCAGCAGGCTACCAACAGCCCGCTGTGCCCTCTCAGGATGGGGTGTTGCAAATTGGATGGATCTCTGACTCCAGATTGTTGGTTTAAGTTTTGCAATGTGGAGGATGCGGACTACAGCGAAGAGATACTTGGAGGGTCCGAAGCTCTTGTCATGCCAATCCGGTGCGTTCTTGAAGACACGTGACACGTACTCGCTTGGGGAAGTTGGAGCAGGTTGGAGCATCTGTCATGGCATTAGGCATTCAAGACCCGAAACATGATGTTGCTGCATGCCGGAGGTTGCGCAAGGGTTTCCCTGGGGATGATTGGGGCGAGTTCTGGCCGCTGGTCGCAGTTGGTACCAGTTCATGTTGGTCCAGCAGTAAGCATCAGCTGCCGTGAGGTGCGGGCTGGAGCACACTGATGTCAGCTACAACCCTGTCGGCAGGGGACTTACTCCACCTGGGCCATCACTGCCCCGAGTTTCTGGCCTCTCCAGGTGGGTCCGGACGGATCTTCGACTCCAAGAAAGCACTTCAGCTGCAGAGGGAGAGATGTTGTCGTGAGCTTAGAGACTCCATGGACAGGTCGCCACGCCGGACTGGTGTTGCCGATATTGCCAACGCAGCAGCAGCTGCAAGGCGTTCCGCTTCGAAGGCGAGAGAGAACTCAGAGCTGGAGCGGCAGCTGCCCGCATCTACCCGCAGCCTCGAGGCATCCCTGGCAGCAACACTACAAGGCCAGGCATAGTCAGAGTGTTCGCAGCGGGGCAGCAAGAGCTTCGCGGCAGAGACCCGTTGCGGCGAGGTGTACATTCCTGACGGATTACGAGCCTGGCCTGAAGGACGATGAATCGGCTGCGTGCCCGTCTGCATTTGAGTTGCCCGTCGCTTCTTCGAGGATGCAAACTGCAGCTTCGTTGCTTCGGGATTGGCTGCGGAGTGGGCCATACAGGTGGGGCAAAACGTCCGTTACGCGTGCTTTGGGGAGGCGTGTTGGACAATGAAACAGTCGTGGAGAGTTCAAGAGCTTCTCTGCACTGGCAGTCCGTGGAGCGGAGCTTCCGCGCAGATACTCGCATAGCAGTTCTATGAGGCAGCGGGCTTGTTGTTAAGAAATCCCGAACGCAGAAAATGCGGAGGTCCAATGTTTCAGAAGCAAGAAACACCTGGCCAGGTGCTGGCACTAGGGCTGCCAGGAGCTCAGCGCCAACTGTTTGTACTGGCGATCCCTTGAGGACCGGCTTGAATAGCGCATCCAGGTGCGGCCCACCGAAGTTTCTGCACCTCTGATCTCGTAGCTGCTTCTGATTTAAGGAGCATACAGCATACACTTACGCAGAACCCTTCGCTCAGTGCGAGCTTACCGTCCTCGTTATGCCGACTCTGTCGGGCAGACATTCGCCCAAGGCGATGTGCAACTCCTGTTTCGGCAGCACTGCTGTCGCAACACTTAGCACAGGGGTTAGAACAGGTGCTGCGGATGTGACGCTGTGCGAAGCACATTCGTTCAATCGCGTGCCTGACGGGACTTGCAGCTGGAGGTCACAAAGGCGTTTTCCCATCTGTGCCTTTTGTGATCGCCAAGCTCAGCTGTCCTTGTTCTTCGATGCCTCTCTGTTTAGTTTTATTGCTGGCGCCGGAGGCACCCGAATCGGGTGGAGTGCGCATGGCCACGCTCGCTTCCTAGTAGTGCTTCCGGGTTAGGAGATGTCCAGGGGGATTTGCTGCAGGAGGTTCCTGTCATTCGGAAGCACATCTTCGATCTTGGTGATGGATATCTATCGTGGAATGTCAGTGAATTACAGTAAACCCCGTAAAGTTGGACATCGGCTGAAGGCCAAATAGTGCTGGGATTCCCTATACATTGCTCTTAGGGATTGAGGCCACGGGGTTTCGAACTTTTGAGCTTCTACTCTAGGTGCCGGTAGCTGGAATCGTTTCGCACTTGCACAGACATCCTGACAAACTCCCAACAACGGTAAGGGTGGAAGGATGATGCAACTTACATGGGATGCTTTGACAAGTCTAAGATAAGAGACCGAGTTAATAACCTCCTGCAGAACACCAGAGTCTCCATCGCGGAATATAGCAACAGTTAATACCCATGCGAATCTTGAGTGGCGCAGCAAAAGACGAAGCAAAAGACGTGCCAGTCCTTTGCGTGCATCTTTCGACAAGACGCGCCTGAGAGTTGACATCGCAGCGGACCCGTTCATACCTCACAGGCTTCCGTTTGAAGTACCAAGGAGCTTTCGTTCGCATGCAGCAGCCGGTGACTCAAGTGCCAACCAACTAGTGCACCCGGCGATTGAGCGGAAGCAAATACTGTTACGAATTCCTCTGGTCAAACGGCCTCGCCAATAAGCGCCCGCAGTCTCATGCAGAGATGGGCGCAAGCCGGACAGGCCGGGAGATGTTTTTTCGGGTCTCAGCCTCGTGCAGTGCGGGCAGGCGCTTCATGACTATGATCCGATCGGTCCGAGGCAGCGTGGGCAGCCGCGGCCCGAGCCACGTTCACATAATGCCGGGCCAAGTCGAGACCCGGGAGCCTGGAGTCTGAGGTCGGCGATGCTGCACCCACTTGCTCTCGGTGCGCAGCCCAGGGCAAGAGACTGTGCTCGATCGGACCCCTTGCAAGCGCGAGGCGGATCGACGAGAGCGAGAGCTGCCTTCCTGGAGGTGTGGCGGCTTTCTGGGTTTTCCCGAGTAGGGTGGCACGTGGTGTGACGGGAGCTGTCAGGTGGCGGCCCCGCATCTCAAGCTGAGTTCGTTCAATCCTGAGCTTCGAGGGTCCTTCCCGCATCTGCCGGATCTGGGTGTTTCTCTTCCCGACCTCAGGTTTAAAAGACTGACAGCAGAAGAGAGGGAGGACCTCGAGGAAAGACTGCAAGACAAAGCAAGCATACGGTGCCAACTGAGGGTTGACACATTTTGTCTGCGTCGAAACGGGTTTCTTCTGGGCCCGAGGAGATGAAGACCTCCAGGTTCGAGCGCGAAGCGGAGGCCCCTGGGGGCTTCCGGTGCAGAAGCCTTGGAAGTAGACCTTGGTCTACTCTATCCTTTTCTCCCGGCTGTGCAGGAGCACGAGAACAGGGACCACAGGGAGCACAAAGCTGGTGCGGCAGCAGACGGCGACAACGGCGCAGCGGTTCCGTTGCCTGGGTGGCTCGATGTGGCAGAGTGCGGCCTTGGGCGTATGTGACCCCCCATGCTCCCTCGGATCGAGGTTTCTAACAGCTGTGCCAGGCGCACCGGCAGAAAGGCCAACTGGAGCATGTTATATTCTTCACGATGTTGAGAAGGTGTCAGCAGCGTGGCAAGCAGCTCGTACGCCCTTTCTGCCTACGAGCAGCGGCCTTGGTGGGATTATAGTCTTGCATTAGTTTCGGCCCGTGTTCCTTCCAGGTATGCCAAAGAGAACCCGATGATGACAGCCTGGACAGCGGCTTGCCAGTGCAAGTCATGTGCCGTCGCGCCTTTCCCCGACAACCAGCTGTATCACAGACAGTAAAAGCCTTGAATGAGGTCGGAACCGCAGCATTCAGCGCGGCAGCGAGCGCATTCAGGCCTTTGTCAGAGCAAGCGTCACCTTCGGGTCCAGAGATTTTGCGATGCTTCGCGAGGTCCGTCTACGACTATTTCTATCCACCTCAGGACATCTGCTGGCAGATTCGTGGAAAGCTGCTAGTGGGAGCCCTGACACTTGCGAGCAGACTCCAAGCCAGGATGAGGGATGGTTTGGTGGCTGGGACGCCGGCCTGCTGAGTGGTGGTGCTGCGGCGCGCATGCTTTTCGGAAATTTGAAGATGGTTGGAGACCTCAGAATTTGCGGCTTGTTGCTTCGGCCAGGCGGCTGGTGGCTGGTTCGGCAGTGCCAGCGCAGTCGCCGTGGCGAGTTTGACCCGTGAGAGTCGAGCTCATGAGGACACAAAAGGCTCTCCTAGGAGTGACATGCTGTACAAGGAACTTAACAGTCGTAGGATCGCTGCCAGTCGCGACATATTTTGTTTGTCTTAGTCCTTTGAAAGCCAGCCTTCGTCAAGCAGCTGGTTTGGTGGCGGCGCTGCCGCCAGCAGCGATGCAAGCGCTGGGAGCCCCAGCGATGTTCTTGCAACCTGTGCTACGAGCAGGGCTTTCTTTGGTTGAGATGTAAGGATGAGGAAGACCCACGTCATCGTTGCATCGTAGAGCTGCCGTTCTGGGTTTGCTGTGCAAAGTTTGGCGGAAGAGCTCGATTGGGGCAAGGTATCGTCCGGAGGCTGGTTTGGCTTCGGCAGCGCAGCCCCGGCCGCGGCTGGAGCCGGTGGGGCTGCAGCCGGGGCTGCAGGCGGGGCAGCCGCTGGCGGCTGGTTCGGCGGACTCTTCGGAGGTGGGGCCGAGCGCTCAAACCGAGATGATAGCCGAGTTGACATGCGGTCTGCTTGCTGGAGCTCTTTGTTTTCGCATGTTACAGGCTCTTCTGGGGAGGACAAGGGCCAGGCAGATCAGTTCGAGCTGTCCGTGTGGTTCATGTGCCTGTGCATGCTGAAACGCTGAAGCTTTGCTCTCTGGTGGGCGTGGTCCCAACTCCAAAAGACTACAGGCACCTCAAGAATCCTAAATCTTGAGCAGGGTCCGGGCTGTCGTTTCGAAGCCGTGGTGGGGCGACCCACTTCTGATACTCATGCTGACCAAGCTAGGGTCTTGTCGTGACGCCTTTGGAAGCTGGAAGCTTGTAAGCTTCCGAGCCCGTTTTCTGCAGAGCTGCGGCAGCTCAATGTCGTGTTCCTGTTGGACAAATTCGTTCGAGTTGTGCACAGCACGTAGCAGCCTCCTGGCCTCCCTTGCCTTGCAAGTGCAAGAGTGTTCGCACCCAGAGGCTGTCAATCAGTCAATCAATCAGTTGTGCGCTTTGCTAGCTGCAGCACATCAGCACTCGGTCTGTACTTGTCTGCTCTAGATCCTGTGTGTTCTGCTTGTTAACCCTATGGGTGTACTTCTATTGCTGCACTTGTATGTGTGTGTGTGTGTGTGTGTTTGTTTCTTCATTGTTCTGCTGGAGAAGCCACGGACGTTGCAGGGCGCGAAGCGTTCTTGGAGTTCAGCTCGGACACCGTGCTAAACGCTCCCTTTTGATGTCTCCATTGCAACTTCTTGCAGCAGAGAGTCGACATGACTGACATGACCACGCGAAGATTCCCTGGAGCCTTCCCTGGAGCCAATCGCCAGCCTTGTTGGAAGCCGGAAGAGCAGCAAGCAGTGGAAGCGCGTGAGATTGGTCTGAATTGGCCTAGCGTGATACCTGAAGAGAAAGATACGTTTAGCAGCATGCAGCCTTCATGCGGCCTCATCGGCACTGTGCCTGAAGACGGGATCCTACGTGGTCGCCTCTCAATTGCAAGAGTGATTTCCGAGCTGTTCGAGTACCGAACAGTCCATTCTGTGTGTTGCTTGAGTAGAGCAACCTTTGGTCTCGCATGCATCGACTTTGTGGCCGGACTGAGGTGTGGGTGTTGGCCGCTGGCTACTGCAAGCATGCCTGGTTGCTGCTCTGGTGGCGCAGCTGCACCAGCACCCCATGACCAAGAGCATGAGGAAACGGCTGATCTTTCACTGTAGCAGAGAAGATCAACGGTCCGTTCACAGATCTTTTTTGGAGATTTCTAGCGGCAGGCGTGCAGTAAGGATCTTGACTTCCGCGGAGGATTTTGCCTAGATGCTTCGGGGTCCGTCCGAGCATTACATTCATTACATCATCAATGCACCGATCACATTTGAGGCGTGTGCTGTTTGCGTCGTGAACTCAGTCTTGGCAGGATGAGGAATCTGTAGTCATCGCGCTTGAGCTGGGTACAGATGGAATCGGCTAGCCGACGATAATATCAAGGTTGCAGTCCTCATTCTGCTTCTGAGCGAGTCGTTGGTGCTCTTCATCGTCACACTTTCAGTTGCTTGGCCACTTCATAGTGCTTTGCATCAAAATGCAGCTAATGGCTGTGCTTCGTATCCGGCCCTTGCTGAGCTCTCAGCAGGCTGTCTCAGCTTGCCGAGGTCTCTGGATGCCTTTTTGCAAGCATGCGCCTTGCCTGCGCCAAAAGAGGGCATGTGACTCTGCTTGAATCAAGCGGTGAGTCCTGTGGCGGCGGCACAGACTGAGGAAGTTTTGCCTTCGTCCGTGGGCATGGCTAGGCTTGGCCCACTTAACCAAGGAAGCGAAGTATGCAATGTCTTGCCACACAGGAGTGGATTCTCACTTGCCGATCCTCTTCGACCTACAGTCCTCGGGCTTGGAGGTGACGTTTGCCTGTGTCCGAACAGGGCTTCAACCTGCTAGAGCAACTGTACGGAGAGGTGGGCACCTGGGACCACTGCTTCCTTCGGAGAAAAACTTGGCCGGCAGCAGCGCTCAGGGACCTGCCGCATGGCAAAACTTCAGGGAAAATTACACGGCCAACGAAGAGGCTGCTGCCTGCTACCTACTACCACCGCCGAGGCGCGTCTACAAAGAGACTGTAGACTCGCTGGGTGAAAGTGCGGACTCCGAGCCAGTTCCGATCTCCAGCAGCCAAAAGGCCGGGATGCTTCTGATTCCTCGTTGGTTTAGGAATCAGCACGGGGGCCATTGCGAGACAGGATGTAATCTCTGATGAGCTCTGCTGGTGAGGTGTCCGCAGAGCTTCCGCAGTGCTGTGATGCCACGAAGGCTTCTGCTGATGCCACAGAATCGGAACGCAATTGAGCAGTCTACACCCTAGACAGGTTCTTCAATGCTCACAGTTTCGGGATTAGGTGCTGTTTGTGCAACTCCGATAGTTTGATTGAGCCCTCTCCGGGATTAGCAAGACAGGCAGCATGTTGGTGCGAGACAGTTGCGAGGCGTGCTTTGGCTCGTGCTGGAGATCGTGCTGCTCGGGCGGCGCTTCAGACGCATTACTTTGCAGCTGAAGCCTCCAAGATCTAGCAGCCTTTGCTCCGTAGGGTGGGCTGGACAAGATCGAGTTTCTGCATATAGCACATTAGAGTCGCGTGCTTGCACGGCTAAGGACTTCCGGCGATGCAATTTGAAGTGTGTTTCTGCAAGATGTAAGGCTCCGGCGGCTTTTTGGTTTCCGGAGTGTTTCTCGGTGCGAAAGTCGAGAGCAAAGTGGTGCGCTTGACAAGAGACGTGCAGGCCTTAGAAGGGTTCGTGCAAAGCTTCTGGACCGATCTGCAGGGGCCTGTTGCAGTTGGCTGGCCATCCTTCACAAGTTCCCAGCATATGCCTGAGTGAGATGCCCTCTGATGAGGTCTGGACGCTAAAGGAGGTTGAGCAGCTCCTGGTTTTGGCGCAGCAGGGACGCCAGCTGCTTGGCCTGCCCGAGCAGGCGGCCCTTTCACTTGGCAGCCCGACGGTCAGCAGGGACGCCGTGCCTGGATCTTTGTCTTCTGAAAAATCGTTTCTTCGTTGCTTCAGTCCTGCAGGCTCCAGCGGATCTTGAAAGAGCCTCAGAGCAAGTCCAGGCAAGCCGCTGAACCACAAACTTGCAAGATTATCGCAGGACTGATTGCAAGCGAGCTGCCACTAGTTGCGCCGATTTTGCAAACGAAGGGATGGTGCTTCTTCTAGCTTTTCTGAAGCCAGGTGGTGGATGTTGAGTGCATCCCGGTGACATGCGTCATGGGCAAGGAGGACCTTGAGGGATGGCGGTCGGATGAGTGCAAATGGTGGCTGGTTCAACCGCGTATGCCGCTCGCCGACACCTGTTTCGCTTGTTCTCTATAGATGTTAGCAGAAGCTTGGATTCTCAGCCGCAAGGGCGTGTAAACGGCTCCTCACCCTGCGTGTCTATCGAGGCCGCCAGCCAGGCAAAAAGGTACCAAAGGAAACCCCGAAAGCCCGAGACCCTAACATGGAAGAGCGGGTAGTTGTGGCACGCACACTCGGAGGGCTTGTGCAGCTGTCTGGATCTTCCAAAAGAGATGAACCGTAGCCTCTTGTGAGGTTGGTAAAGTACTGGGAGACACAAGGCAAATGCCAAGTACACCAGCGAATGAAAGCTTGGAGCCTGTCTGCGTGCATGAACAGGCATTGCGAATGGAGACTAGCCGACCATCATTACAGGAAAGTTGATCGCATAGCAGCAACATGTAATGAAGTCTCTTGAGTGTGCGAGGCGTGCAACAGAACCTTCGGTACATGAGCCTGAGATGTAAAAGCTGCAAGCACAACAGCTGCATGGAATGGAAAGGTGCGCGGCAGCGGCAGCTGCCCAGCTAGTCCCTAGTAAACCACTTGTTGACCAGGTCCAGTGGCAAAAGTTTTGAGTTTTCTCCAAACCCGGGTTCAGCCCAGGCTACTCTATACGGGGTATTTCATCCCGCTCTGCAATCACCAGCCACAGCTTAGTCTTGAGCATGCAGGATGGTTTGCCAACTATCCGGGAGGACACCAACGGGAGTATTGGTGCAAGCTTGGGTGAGTGCTTTCATAGATGTTGTTGGACTTTGAAGTTTGGTAGTGCAAGGACACCATTCTCCGGGATTCGACCGAGGCCTCGGTGTTGCCGATGTTCTCGAAGGACGGTTTCGAACACCCTTCGTTTCCTGGCTCTCCTTTCGCCAGCAGATACTGGTAACCTGGTAGGAAACTTCGGAAGTGGCAGATGAGCGGTGCATGCCTACGGCACCTCAGCAAAGACTCGGATGTAAAGCAAGTCCTTACCTTAGGGCATGTATGCCCGAGGTGCGGTCAGGCGCTCTGGCTCCGCGCCCCAAGACAAAATCCCAGGCATCAGCTCCAGCTGGGGCTTCAGTTGTCAGAGCTTCCGAGGGTTCAGTGCCGCTTCATCTCTTCCAGGCCTTTGCCCTCTCTTGACTGGCTTTCGGGTCAAGTCCAGGGATCTAATGCTGACCTGGTCTAGGACGGGCAGCAAACCGTCACTTCTTGGCAGGCAAAGGTACAAGACCTCCTGGCGGTGTGAATACGTCCGCATCTGAGCAAAATCGACTGCAGCTTTCTCGCTTCTCTTGTAACTGCCAGTCGTGAAGGTTCGAAACTTGAGACCTGAGCGCCTGGAAAGATTTGAAGCCACCATCCTTTCAGCCATGCCGCCCGGACGGTCAGAGATGCTGCCGGGCTGTGCGACCGTGCGGTGATTTCTGCTTCTATGATCAGTATGATTTCCTAGAAACGATTTGGTGGATCGGCTTCTGCAGACAGGAATCACGCGGAGGGTGGGCTTGCGAACAGGTCCTGGAGTTATTGTGTACAGTCAGTTGGAAACTTAATGCATGCACTTCCGCTGTGGCCGGCCTATATGCGGTTGGGCCTTCTTGTTTCTCATGCTACCTGCGTTGCACTTACATTCGCAGGCAGCATGTAATGTAAAATTCAGTGCTGCCGTTGCACCACGATGCTGTGGAGCTTGGCCCAAGCAGTAGCGGCGTGCATTTTCGGATGTGGTTGGAAGGACTTGCGTGCGGGCTAAGTCCGCTGCGCAAGCCGCAAGCCTGCTAGTATGGAAGTGGATGCAAGAGTGGGAATGCGCTGCAACGCATCACATGGTTGGGCTCCCGATGCACTTAGCATCCTTAACCTGCGAAGATACTGCACGGGACGCCAACTTCTGTGAATCTTACTGTTGTTTGCTGTTGTCAGAAGCTGCATAAAGCAGTTCACTGACGACCAGCCTCATTCCAAGGTCATGTGCTTCTAGTGGCCAATCGAGTCAGAGTCTGCAGGGATTTATCGTGTGGTCGCCTCCAAAGATCCGCGGTCTGTAGAGAATCGCCTCTTTGCAGATATCTGTAAAGCAGTTCTTGGATTGTAAAGGAGTTAGAAAGTCAGAGCCGTCGGCGCACACCGTCTGTCCACCTTGATCGCAAGCACGTGTACAGATGTGCATGGTTGTGTTCGGCTGTCTCGCTTGGCGATCAGACGCGGCGTGTTAACATCCGTGGGCACTATCTCCCAACACCCCTTCGGCCTGTGGCGAAAGCTGTATGAGTTTATGGCAATAGCAACAGTCGGTGCTGCCACACAGCCAGGCTGCTGCCAGCAGTCGTTCAGAAGCCGGCGGAGGGGGAGATGCAGCAGAGGCTCAGGAAGAAGGCAGCTGCCTCAGCTGCCTCTCGGCCTCTCCTGCCTTGCGGTGTCGATGAGGCGTTAAACGACTTGTGCAGTGATGTGCGGTGCCTTCCCTGAGGTTTCGACTTGGAGGGAGAGTTGGATATGGACCTGGGCTTAGGCGGAGACGACGATGGGGAGGCACAGCAGGGAGACTTCGCCTAACAAGCAGAAGTGAGGCTGGCAGCTATGATAGCACTTCGAATCGAATGTCGCATTCTGCCAGGGTGCCTGCGAGCAGCAGTGAGCTGCAGAAGCAGCGATGGCCCTTCCAGAGCGATGGCTCCGCGGAGGGAAAACTCCAGTTCTTCTCAGCAAGAGCCAAGAGCCGCTGGTGCTCATTCCGTTGCTGCGAATGTACATAAAAGAAAGCAGCAGCAACGTGCAAGAAGATCTTGCGGTTGCAGCAGGTATGCGGAGCAGACGATGGTGTGAAGATGCGGCGTGTTTAATTGTTCTCTGATCCAGGGTGGGTGCGAATGAGAAAGCAGCTGGCAGCGTGTCCGTAAGCTGTGAGGATCAAAGGCACCAGCCGCAGAGCTCTGCTTGGGGGAAAGCGCTTAGAGCCGTGGCCAGTGCCAGCCAGTGCCAACGATGACGGCGGCCGGACAGGCCATGGTGGCCGATCGCTCAGAGAGGTTGAGGAAAGATCCATCCTTTTGGTGTTTGAAACAATGCGAAAATCAGGTGCTGGTGCCCATTCGGCCGAAGTCAGCCATGACCTTCGTAAACGCTGCTGGCTCAGCTTTTGGATGGGATGAGCCTGAGAACATGTCGTGCACCCCTTGGAACCCCCTAGGGTAGGAAGGAAGGGTCGAGTAACAAGAAGTACTCGGCATGCTGAAGAGCTTGTGGCTTGCCATTCCTAGAGTCCGAGGACAAAGATGCCGAACTCATGGGCCTTGTCGACGAGGAGAAAGAGCGCTTGGCCGGGGCCTCGTGACGGCCATGTCCGATCTGGCTTCAGGGCTCAGCCCCGCAGGCGCAAGTAGACAAGGACAAGCAAAAAGAGATGCAGCTGAAGGCCTGCACCATGAAACGCGGGCTAGAAAGAAGAGGCTCTGCCGTACCAACTCCGTCGTTCCTGGAGGCCTCTGACTTGGCAGACCTCCGCGCGGCTCGGAAGGCAGGCCTCTAGTAAGTGCGTCGAGCAGGCGACAGCATCGACTGTCCTTCTCTTTGTCCTCCGTCCTACTACAATCTGCAGAATTCTGCTGCCATGTCCAGTGGCGTTGGGTTCCCGTAACGCAGGAGCTGAAGCGGTCCCGACAGGAAGAGGAGCATGCGCGGAAGGAGGCCCACAACATGCGCGAGGTTTGCAGCGGAGACTTCAGATCGACGAACTAAGTGCAAGAGTGAACGGTCGCAGGGCTCTAGGCCGCTCCCGATCCCTTCTACTTGCCTTGGCAGGCCCTAGAGGCTCGATTGAAGGCCAAGCCCGAGAAGGGAGCGCCCGCGATTCCGAGCTTTCTGCAGCCTGGCTGCAGCGGAAATTCAGCTCGAGAGCACAGAGATACGTGGCATATCACGGCAGGAAGGTCAAAGCTGCCAAATCAAAGGATGCTCAGAAAGACCAGGATGCAGGCCTGCGTCGCCTGAGTGGCATGTCGCACAAATCAGGCCATCTGTTTCCATGCGCGTATGCAGCGTTTCCGCTACGAACGCACGCTTTCTTGGGCCAAGGGAAGGCTCCAAAGACTTCCGTGATCCGCCACATGCCCGCAGGCGAGGATGCTCCTGATCCTGCAGAGCCGGATGCGAAGCGGGCCAGAATAGAGGCCGGCTTGGTTTTGACAGCATGTTATTCCTGTGGCCTGTGGCCATCTTCCGCGTCCCCGGCAAGGCCCCGGTTGAAGCTGCAGGTGCTCCGTCCGGTCTTGGAGGCCTCGGTAGCTATGCGCCTGTTCCTCATGAAGGGGGACAGATCGGGGCTTTGCATGTTCTTGTCCAAGCTGTAGTCAGGTCTGACAGTGAGGATGAGGTTGAGTCCAGTGAGGACGAGGCTACATGACCCGGCTCCAAAAAACAGGCGTGGTGCGCATGCCAATCAGCAAAGCTCGGCTGCCTGGAGCAGTGCGAAAGCAGCACGGTCTCACCAGTGTCACCAAGAACACTCGTGTCCAGGAAGATCGGCCAGACCCAGACCGGGCTGGATTTCTGTACCGGCTCTCATAACCTCCTCGAGACGAAGACAAGTTTGCCTCCCAACAACATATTATGCATGGTTTAATGCTACCGCGTCTTTAAGCGCATTGACGGGACAACATGAGGTCCACAGAACCGGCCTGAAAGCCCAACCACGAGCGTGTCGTCTCCATTAACATGAAAAAGAAAATCGATTGGCAACAGTTACAAGGGCCAATTAGAGGCAATCTTATTGCCCATTTGGGCCTTCAATACTCTCGAAATAATTTAAATGACATAAGACAACGAAATTATGTGCATAATTGGTGATATCTGAAGATGAGAAAATTAGAATTAGAAAATATTCTAAGCTCTGAAGACATGTGGGGCGAGGTATGGTTTCTAGAACAAGAGGAGGGGTCTTGACAGCCAGAAAAGCGACAACACGATGTTGCGACGACGGCACGGCGATGATACGATATCGGTCCGGCGATGGCGTGGGCGACACGACGACGCGACGACGATACGATGATGATGCGATGAAAGTGCAATGACGATACGAAGACGGC